AGCAAGAAAACGTACAGCATATCAGGCATTAGTTGGTAGTAGTACGACAACAACAACCAACAACAACAACAACAGCAGCAGCAGCAGCAGCAGCAATAATACAATTATTATTGGTCATCATAATCCATCAACAACAACAACAACAACATTGAATATAAATCAAAATAATTCATCAACAACAAAATCCACATTATTATCAGAAAGTTCACCAGAAGTATCATCAAGTCAAAATTGTACAGTTATTAGTCCTGTGCCTAGTTTAGAATCATCTGAAATTGAATTAGAATTATGGGATCTTGATATACATGAAAGTTCGGCATCAAATTCTTCAGGTTCGATTTTTTTTTTCTAAATAGTTGATTGTCTTTATATTCCATTTGTTTGTTTGCAAAATTGAAAAAAATGAGTTAAAGCGAAAAAAAAGAAAGATGAAACCTGAATATGTGAATGGTGGTGGCAATGATCCAATGATTCATTGGTTTCAAGGCCAAGACATTCAAGATTTTGCGTACGTTTATATATGATGTTTATGTTTTGTTGTTGCTTGTTTTGAATCCAAATGGTTTTTTTGTTGTACATTTGTCCTTAGTGTGTATGTGTGTGTGTGTGTTTCTATATATGTGTGTTTTGTATATATTAAATGTGTGGTGTGTGTGTGTTTATAGTGATAATTTTGGCCATCGACTCCAAATCCATTTCTTTTCGGATTTTCTAGTTTGTGTCGACAACGATGCAATATATTTATTTTTTAAATTCCAAATGTATATATGTGTAAAGAGGATAAACGAAAAAAAAAACAACTAAAAAAGACCCAAAATCCAAAATTAAACACAAAAAAAGTGGACATTAAAATCCACTGTATTTTTTTTGGTGGCTGTGAAACGTGTATACGTCATAGTTCTATCGAAGTTTTTTTTGGTTATCCATTTTAATGAAAAAAAAACTGAATAGTGGACCCCGGCAATTGTTGTTTGCAATTCAATTCACATATATCGATTCTTTCCATTAATAGCTCAATACACTTTTGTACTTGTTTAATATTGGCGTTTTTTTGAATTTTATTTCATATGCCCAAATAAAAGCTGGTTTTTTTTGCCCACCACCACCACCAGGCTTGGTCCATACTTACACACACACACACACACCAGTTTTGTCTGTCTGTATTGGATGATATAATATCATTTTGCTATTGTATGCTGCTACGTCGGCGTGAATAAACCGAGAAAAAAAATCCTCCCCCCTCTGACAATCATTTTTTTTTTTTTGCTTCTTTTGGTTACCACATATTCTTTGCAATCAACCACCATTAGCCTTGAATGCGTACATCGACATCAACATGATGTTGATGGTGATCATCCTCTTTTTTTCTGGTAAAAATGTCTTGTGATGACGACGATGATGATGATGACTACGACGTCGATGATCATCATCATCATTTTTTCATTCATTAAACATAGTAGTAGACGCCATGTGCGCTGATGCTGCTGCTGCTAGTTTATCTGGTTTTTCTAGTCAACTCTCTTCTTTCTTTTTTATTTATTGTGTTTGTCTGTGTATATATGTATGTTTTTTTTTTTGATACACGTAGACATTGACTGGAAATGGAATATAGAAAAATATAGATAGATACAGAGATGATACCCGATGATTTTGAATGAATTCGGTGATTGTTGTGTATGTGTGAGAATAATAAAATCTTTTTACATGCGCATTCTATTTTTTCAAATACAACTTTTTCTCTGTGTTTGTGAATGGTGGATACACGCACACACACTTTCGCTTGGCGTCGGTAAAAACGAAAAAAAAACTGATAAAAAAAAGAATCAACCAACCAACCAACCAACCTAACAAATAGAACCCCCCTCATCCTCCCAAAAAAAAAAATGCAATGAGAAGAAGCCCATGGCATTTTTTTCCATCGGTAGTGCCAATGAAAAAACGCATACAGCTAAATCAGCCAAAATAGTGTAGTGGTGGCAAGCCAACAAAAAAAAAAAACCAAACCAAACCAAACCAAAAAAAAAAAAAATGTTATTAAACTTTGAGTTGTAAGTTAATGGCAATGATGATGATGATGATGATAATGTGAAAAAAACAACTACAGACAGACAGACATGTGATCTGAATCCACCTTTTTATTCTCATTTTAATGTGAATTTGATCCATAACGATTTTTGTTTGTTTTTTTTTGATGATTATAATGATGACCAAGTAAACTTGATTCATCGTTTTTTGTTGTTGTTGTCGTTGTTGGGCGTAGATTATATTATAGAGAGAAATTGATCAAATCAATCAATCATTTTTGTTGGAAATTTTTTGTTTGCCCATTTTTTTTGCTGTGTATATCTAACGGAACTTGTTGTTGTTGTTGTTGTTGCTGTTGTTATGTCGGCAAATATATTCTTTCTCTTTCTCTCTTTTTTTTTATTGTTGGTATTTCATTTTATTGTCACCTTAGGTTGTTAGCCTTATTACTTATTTAGTGTATATATAAGTGGTGCACATTTCAAGTGGATTCCATTTTTTTTCTTTGTTCTGTTTACTATAGTGTGATGAATGGATGAAATATTGCACACGTCATTGTCATCATCATCATCATCATGCGTATATATTGTACTTGTTGGTTATATGTGTTTGCATGATATATGGGGTTTCAATTTTTTATGTTTAAAAGGAAAAAAAATTTTAGATTTTTCCAGATGAAATGTTGTTGGTGATGATGACATATAATGGACATTTCGTGTGCTATACAATTGGCCATTGTTTCATTTAGATTAGATGTCACTGTCATGGACACATACGGTTTTTAGAATGGAAGCTATTCAACAACAACAACAACAACAGCAGCAAAAAATAACCAGCCACTTTTTTTAATGATCGTTTTTTTTTTCAGCCACAAAAAAAACACTTGACCAGAGATCCTTTTTTTTCGGGAAAATATGATATTTTTAAACATTTTTTTCATTTTTATTCATATTTGTTGTTGTTTGCTAAAAATTTTCGTTTTATGGTCAGAAAAAAAAGTAATAAATATATGATCTATGAAGGTATTTATAGTCCTGAAAAAATTTTTTTTTTTTGTATATCTATACGATGATATTTGATAATGACAATTGAATTTGTATTTGTATATTGATTTTGATGATTATTGGGTAGCTGATTGTTGAAATTGATTCATAATCAATGCATTTGTACTTTTTGTTTTCTCCAAACACTTCGTACATACACACAGTGAACATTTTTTTTTTTTCATCTGTCATCTTTGATAATTGAGTTTTTTGTTTGTTTTGTTTTGTTTTTTCAATTAGTAATGACCTACAAAAAAAACAACAACAATTCTCTCTCTCTCTCTCTCTCTCTCTCTCTTTCGTTTTTAGTTTCATTTTTCATTTCATATTTCAAGTTGTTTGTTTGTCAAATAATTTGTTGATGATCTTTGCTCACTTGAGATTTTTATCTTTTTTTTTCTCAATAACTCACCGCGGGATCCTACACACACACACACACACACATGCACACGGAATCACAAAACAGAATAAAAACAGTTTCTTTGATTCGTGACTAGGTCTTTGACTTTGATTTGGTTGTCATTGTCATCATTATCATCATCATCATCATCATCATCATCATCATCATCATCATCATCATCATCATCATCATCGTTATTATTATCATCCTTATTCGTCATTCATGATTCATGTGAACACAAATAATTATGATCACGATGATGACAATGACAATGCCAAAACAAAAATAAAAAAAAACGATCCTGACAACGAATTAATTTTTTTTTGTTTAAAAAACAAAACAAAACAAAACGAAAAAAAAAATAACAGGAACATTGTCTCTTGTTGTTGTTGTTTGACGACAGTTCGATGTTCGTCATAATCACCATCATCATCAGGTCGATGTTCATGACTTTGATTCTCTTGTCGTCTTTAGCGACAAACAAAAAAAAAAAAATGAAATCCTTCTTACAACCAGTAAAAAAAAACGAAAGCTGAAAAAAAAATTTGAAATAGGACATGATGATGATGATGATCAAGAAGATGTATGCAATGCAATGCTTGTGTTTGTGTGTGTGTGTGTGTAAAAGTTGGCTAAATTTAGAAACAACCAACCAACCAAGTAAACGTGGCTAAAATATATGAATTTACACACACACACACACATTTCTATGATTTAAAATAAATCTTGTCGATAAAATGAAAATTATTTTGCGTTTGTTGTTGTTTTTTTTTTTTTTTGAAAAGTCATCGTCCTTTTTTGTTCACATTTTTTTGTTTTACTATAATGAAAGAATTTATTCTACAACGATTCTAAATCTATTTAGATAGATAGATTCAGTTTAATTTGGTTGAATTTAATTGACATTTTTTTCTGTTCATTTTGTTTTTTTGGCATTGATTATCGACAATGAAATGAATGTTTCACATCACATATCAATGTCGTTATGTGTGTGTGTGTGTGTGTGTATGTTTGGCGGCCAACAAACTCATTGTGTGTGTGAATCAATGAAATGAAATTTTTAAACCATGACTTGAATGGTGTGTTTTCGTATATATTTCTTTGTTGTTGTTGTTTTTTTTCGATTTTGTATGCGTGTGTATGTGGTAATATGTAGGACGAACTAACTAATCAATAATGATCATGGGAATAAAAGAGTTTATTATTACCTAACTCAATGCAAAAAAAAAATTTTGTTTTTAATGCACTCTGATGTGATTATTCGAAAATGTGAGAAAGAGACTAGAATTTGATCATCAATATTTTTAATCGTTAATGATGATGATGATTATGGTAGTCATATTTATCAATCATATATTCATTGATTGATAATTTGGTTATGAAATAAACATGTCTGACTCTGTTTTGTTCAAGTATAAGGTCATTCCATTTATTTTTCTATTGATTGTTTATTGCATAATGTACATTTCATTTATTCACTACAATAAAATTAATTGATTTTTTTTTCATTGGTCATTGATTATCATATTTAGGCAAAGAAGAGATGAGTCCATCAAACAGTGTGAATGGTTATACAAATGTCGATAGTTTGGGTGGTTTAGATCCAAAAAAGAAAAAAGGACCAGTACCAAGACAGCAAGAAGAATTATGTCTAGTTTGTGGTGATCGAGCTTCAGGATATCATTATAATGCATTAACTTGTGAAGGCTGTAAAGGTTTGTTGTTGTTTTTTTCTATGAGACTATTATTAATTGATTGATTTTTGTTTTTTATTTAAAGGATTTTTTCGCCGTAGCATCACAAAAAATGCTGTTTATCAGTGCAAATATGGAAACAATTGTGAGATTGATATGTATATGAGAAGAAAATGTCAAGAATGTCGATTAAAAAAATGTCTTTCGGTCGGTATGAGGCCTGAATGTGTTGTACCTGAATATCAATGTGCTATGAAACGTGAAGCAAAACGTGCTATTAAAGATAAAGATAAACCGAATTCAACCACCAAAGAAGGTCTTTCACCAAACAATAATAATAACAATAATAATTCAACACAAATGATGATGATAATTGAACAAGAAAAACAGCCATTAACACCAATAATGATGACAAATAATAATAATAATAATTGGAATGGTTCACAAAATGGTGATGTTGAAATTGCTAGAAAATTAACAAATGAACAGGATGAGATAATCAAAAAACTAGTCTTTTATCAAGACGAATTTGAATCACCATCAGAGGATGATATTAAAAAGATAGCGGTATGTTTTTTTCTTTCTTTCTTTCTTTCTTGTTGTTGTTGTTGTTGTTCCATAATCAACTAAATTCATTACATATTATTCAATTATATTAGCCTTTTCCATATGGTGACGATGAAGATGATAATAAAAGAAGGTTTCAACATATTACCGAAATGACTATATTAACTGTGCAGCTAATTGTTGAATTCTCAAAACGTGTACCATTTTTTGATAAATTATTTCGTGATGATCAGATTACACTTTTAAAGGTAATATATATATAATTTTTGTTTTGTTATGGAATTTTTTTTTTTAATTTTAAATTCATCATCTATCTATATCAATATATAAACATAGGCATGCTCAAGTGAAGTGATGATGTTACGATGTTCACGTAAATACGATATCAAAACCGATTCAATTGTTTATGCAAATAATCAACCATATACGAGACAAAATTATAGCAGTGCTTGTATAGCATATGTGGCCGATACATTATTTAATTTTTGTCGCCGAATGCATATGCTCAAGGTTGATAATGCTGAATATGCACTATTGACTACGATTGTTATATTTAGTGGTAAGTGTGTTGATTTATATTTAGATGATTAATCGATTGAATAATTTGTTTTGTTTTGTTTTTTTTTTGTTTTGCTGCTCAACAAACAAACAGATCGACCACATTTACTTGAACCACATAAAGTGGAAGAAATACAAGAAAAATATATTGAAATATTACGCATTTATGTGGAAACACGTCGTCCTCCGAACAAATGTCATTTTGCCAAATTATTAGGCATATTAACCGAATTACGTACATTGGGTAATATTAATTCGGAAATGTGTGTATCACTCAAAGTACAAAACAAAAAATTACCACCATTTTTGGCCGAAATCTGGGACATACAAGATTTTTCTTGAAACGAATAATAGTAGTGAGAGAATATTGGAATTGAAATCGGACATTTTCTCGTTTTGATTTTTTTTTTTTGTTTTGTTTTGTTGGAATGGAATGTAACATCATCGATCATCCAAAAAATCATGTTTTATATACAAAAACACCCATGATCATCATCATTCTTTATTTCTCTCAATTTATCGACCTCAAATCTTATCTCATGGATCATCATCATCATCTTCTGTAATCTCTCTTTCTCTTTGAATCTCCAATATATTAGCGTCACATGAATTCAAACAAACACACGCGGGATTTTGACAAAAAAAACTTGGTTTCATCATCATCAAACTCATCAAATATTGCTATTTCTGGGACCTTTTACGATTATTTTTTTCTGGTTTTTTTTGCCATCGTTTTTTTTCGTCTCAAACTTATATATATCGGTCTATTTCTGTTCCGTTATTTTTATTATTATTTGGTGCCTAATTCATCATTGTCATCACCATCATCATCATTACTTTCGCTCGCTGTTGTTTTTCTTTATATTCTTCAAATATTTCAAAGATTTTATCTCTTTTTTTGAATTTGAATTTTTATTGTCGTGTATTATCCAAAAACAAACAAAACACTCACACACACACGTACATAGATAGATTGATGTGCTACATTTAGATTTTATTCATTTCATCAACATTGATGATTTTGGCACATTACAGCAGAAAATCTTTGCCATTTTTTTTTTTCACAACAACTATCCATGCATTCTTTTTTTTTGCACATTGACATCGTCTTTCCATATATAATATATTGTCATACGCGATACACCCACACACACACACACATAAACATCATTGATTCATCCATCATTTGATTTATTTGTTTTTTTAGTCAGTCTATCAGAAAAAAAAACAAAAATCGTATGATTTGGGAAAAAGGATGTGTTGTTGTTGTTGGATAAAGCAATATACTACAAAATACCTAGAACCTACATTCACACAGACAGACAAACAGACAGATCGATATATATTTTTCGTTATTATGAAAAAAAAAAGAGAGAGAGAAATGAAGAAGAAGAAAAATTTGTTAAAAATTCTGTTAATTCTTTTATTATTATTATTATTATTCTATTATTCTATTACAGACGCATGAATCAATTGAATCAACAAAAACCGTACACACATACAACAAGAGACAATATTTTTTAGGCCTATGGATTCTGTATATTTTTTTTTTTTTATTTTTTTTTTTTTTGAAATGATAAAAAAAAACAACACACAAATCTATATATTATTATTAATGGATAAATATTATATATCTCATCATCATCATTATCATCATCTGATCATTGACATTCTTCTTCTGATCATCATCTCTGATTATTATTAATTATTGATTTTTTTTTTTTTGAAAACTTTGTGGAAACAAAAAACATTTTGGACTGTGGAATTTTTATGGAAAACGAAAGAAAAAGATGCATGAACAAACAAATGATGACCGATCGATCGATTATGTAACCGACACATACACACACGCAAATTGATTTGTACAAAATGATATTTCTTTGCTATTATTATTATTATTATTATTTTTTTAAAAAAGAAAATATATTTCGAAAAAAAACAGATAAAAAAAATGATAAAATCAAATTGAAAATTGAAAATCGAATGTTATTTGATTTGTGTGTGCGTGTGTGTATGTATGTGTGTTTATGTATGTATGTTTTGCTCACAAAAAATTTTTTTTCTTCGATCGGTATTATTAAACCTGGGTGATAATTGACAAAACAAAAACAACAACCACAACACAGCCAAAAGCCTGCCCATCCAAGATGATTGAAAACAAAACAGCCGAAAAAAAAACTTTATATCCAAGTGAAAACAAACCAAAAAAAAAAAAAAAAAAATGTTTTGAATATATCTACAATCTTTTGGCTAACTCTTTTTCTCTCTTTGTTTATAATTTTACAAATTTGAATTTTGATATTCAAACAAGAGAAAAAAAACGATTTTTTTACATTTAAAAAAACAAAATATCAACATCATCATTGACACAAGTGAGATACACATTCACAAATTGATTACATGAGATAAAATCATGTATATACAACAAAAAAACAAACAAAATGATGATCCTGCGACAATATAACTAATATATATATAGAATCCTTCCATTGTATAATTTTTTTTCACCCTGTAGAGATTTATGTCAGTGTGTGCACGCTTGAGATATATATGCATTAATCTCTTCTGATCATTATTTTTGCTAAATAAATATAAAAACAAACAAAAACAGAATATTTTGTTTTTTTTTATTTTAAATCGAAAAAAAATAAAAACAACAACAACCAAAATTTATGAAAATCTATTCATCATGTTCATTATTATCATGCTGAACAAAATTTAGCTGATAAAATTCCAATATGAATTCGATAATAAAGAACAATAAAAATAACAGCATTGTAGTATGAAAAACAAAATGAAACATTACGAGAATACAATCCATTTTTCTTTGATCTCTTCAATTTGTTTTGCTAATAGTGGTTCACGAATTTTCACTTTTACCTCTAAACGTCCATTAATCACTTTACGTCCTTGTGTCCATGATGAACATTCATGTATAGTACATTTGGTTTCCAAATCATTCAGTTTCACCAATACAGTGCCAATAAGATTATCGTTCCGTAGAAAACCACTGCAATTAAATTGATCAAAACAGGAACTATATTTGCCAAACACGCACCCTTTAGCATAAACTGTTAGTTTTAATGGATGTCGTTTCAAAATTCTCGGTAATGAACGTGATTTTCGATCAATCTCGAAAAATAATGTATCATTGTATTCTGCGAAAAAAAATTTGATCAATTCATTATATAAAAGTTAATATTTTTTAAAAAAAAGACCTTACCTGGAGTTAGACTGTCGTGAAATGTTTTCGTCCGTTTCCATTGAGGATTTTCCTAACGAGTAATGAAAAAAGCATAGTAAAGAATAAAATAAAATAAATAATAAAAAAAAATAATAATCAGATAACTTACCGATGGAAATGGAAAATCTGCTCGTACATAAGTATCGATAGTGGGCGTGCCTGAAAAATCAAATGCACGTATAACTTCTACATGTAATTCATTTAATGGTACATCTAAATTGGCTACGACAATAGAAAATGTACGTTCCTCTACCCGATACGATGGTATTGGATCACCATTATTCCTTCGAATCATTAACATATGTAAATCTTTTTTACTGTCAGCTGCATATTTTTCGAATTTACTGGATGAAGGAATGTCACCCATTTTAAGAAAATATTCACGATTACGAATGCACATCTATGACGTTCATCATCATCACCATTGTTGTTGTTATAGTTGTGGGCGCATTATATTGCATTAAAATAATAATAACCAAAAATAACATATAAAAACATCATACGACTTACCTCAATCTGTTGCTTAAGTTCTTGAGCAATTTTATCATACAATTCATCGCGATCAATATCAAATACGGACCGTGGAATGGCATCATCATCGGTTGGTTTACTAACAACCACAAAATCCTCATTCAATTGTGGCGGTATCGGTATAGATGCAGCATCAATCGGTAAACCACTTCTAGTTGCCTCAATCAATGCATCAAATCCTTTAGAACTACGCAAATATTCTTTTGCTTGTTCAATTTCACCACGTTTTTTCGCCTCAATTGCCGCTTCTCTGAACAACTTTTGTCGTTCCAGAAGATAATTCAATTGTTTAGAAGCGGTTGTCGACATTTGTTTTTTCAATGGTGGTCGAGGTTTCTGGGCTGGTTGTTTTGGTTTTGGTGCAACAGTAGCAGCTTTATTCTCCACAGGGATAGGTGGAAATCCTATTGGCAATCGAATTAAACATTTGAATCGCAATACAAAAAAAACAGACCTGGCGGACAAGGCAATTCATCGAAATCGACTGGTTTTCCGGCTTTATAATCTTTGATTGCTTTTTCCATTTGTGTAACGATTCGACCTAGTCGTCTTGCTTTATTTGCATTATTATCGGCTAAAGCTTGTTCTTTAGTTGCTTTGAATTTGGCCAATCGTTGTTCAAGTGCTTCCATCACAGATCCGGCTGATTTAGGGGCATTGAATAATTTGGATGCATCATCAGCATTTAATTGAAATTCTGGTGGAATTTCCGCTTCTCCGCCTTCTCCTTGAATACCACTAGCCGGCTGTCGTTCTTGAGCTGGTCCTGGTATAGGTTCTGATTGTTTTACAGGTATCATTGGTGCTGGTCTATGTGGAACAACAGGTGGCGGAACAGGTTTTGGAATAGATGGTGGCGCCGATTTATTTTCAACAGGAATCGGTGGAAATCCTGGTGGACATGGTAACTCATCAAAATTTACAGGCTTTCCAGCTTTATAATCTTTCATTGCTTTCTGGATCTGTGTTATAATTCGACCAAGACGTCTAGATTTATTGCCATTACCTTCGGCATCGGCTTGTTCTTTTGTCGATTTGAATTTTTTCAAACGTTGTTCCAATGCTTCCATTACTGAACCAGCAGAAGTTGGTGCATTGAATAATTTAGAAGCATCATCAGCGTTTAGCTGAAATTCTGCAGGCACTTCAACATTGGCAGCAGCGGCAGTCGGATCCGGTTGTGGAGTTGGAATAGGCAAATCTTTTGGAAGAGGTGGTAATTGCGTCATATCGACATTTTCATCGGCATTCAATGAATTCAACATGCCATCTAATTGCTGTGTAATTAATTCAATTCATTCAATCAATTCAAAAAATGAAACACTGGATTTTGTTACCTTTGAAACTCTCAGATAAGTTAAGGCTGCATTTTTATCACCAGTAGTTTTAGCTTTCAATGCTGCTCGTTTGTATTCGATTTGAAGATTTTTTACTTTCGTTATGTTTTGTTCTTTTGGTGATGGTTTGACGGGCTCAGGTTCGGGGTTCCATTGCTTTAGTTAATATTTCTTGTTGCATGGCTGGACTCGGTGGTTTTGGACTTCGAGTCTTTTTTCTTGGCCCAGGCAAAGGATTTTCTAATACATTAGTCAATTCGGACAATAAAGCAGGATCATTTTCATCAATTTCTTCGTCATCTTCATCATCATCAACGGCATCGATATTTTTCAACAAGTTTTGAATATTATCCATATCGAAAGCAGCCATTTCTATCATGAATAAAAAATTTATAAATTTCAAAAATTTTTAATTTCTTAATCTCTAATTACCATCTTCTTCAGCATCGGGATTCTGACGAGGCTGTGGCTTTCCAGGTTTGATGGCCGGTTTTTTTGCTACAGGTTTCTTAGATTGAGGCATACTGGTTTTGGATGAAGATTTTCCACCCATAATACCTGCAAGTTCATTTTCCAAATCAGCATCATCAAAATCTTCATCAGGATCGGGTGTATCAAAATCATCTTTCATCAATTTGGCCACGACATTTGGGTCCATTGTTCAATTGAATAGAATTTTAAAAAATACAATAAAATGAATATTAATAGATTTGAAATTTCAAATGAAAAAGATGAAAATCATGGATCATTTTAGAATTTCTAAATCTAAATTATTAAAAGCTTATCCGTGTATCGAATAAAATTGTAAACAAAAAAAAATAGTACCGATAGTATCGATTTTACTTTAGTCATCATTATGAAATAAAAATGAAAAAAATGTTTAAACATTAATAGATTGTTTATTTCAGTCAAAAGATGGAGTTATTGATTGTTATGAAAATTCTTCATTGCATGTGATTCTTCGAATTCTTTCACGAATGATTGTATTTTTTCATCATAATTTCATATATTTTCATATAATTAATTAATTATGGCAAGTAATTCATTAAAAATTTTAATTGCCGGAAGCGTCAAAGGTCAATATGAAAAACTTTTCAAACGTGTTGCAGATGTAAATCGAAAAGCCGGACCATTCGATTTATTACTTTGTGTTGGTGATTTTTTCGGCACTGATATCGTTGCTTATAATGAATTGATAAATGGTTCAACAGAATTGCCAAATGTACCTACCTATATTCTTAGTCGTATTCCTCATCAACAAATGCTACAATTTCATCCGAATTTAAATGAATTTGATCAAGGATGTGAATTAATCGATGGTGTTACATTCTTAGGTCGTGCTGGTGTACTAACAACAAGTCTTGGTCTTCGAATTGCCTATTTGAACGGACGATATCGTAAATCATCGACCAATAATAATAATGATGATGATGATGATAAAGATCTTGATTATTTCACTGACAAAGAATATGAATCATTGATGATGTCATGTCAAAGTTCATCCGATGTAATTGATATATTATTGACAATTGAATGGCCTAAAAATGTTTTCAATCATACTGGCGTCGATGTTGATGATTCTATCATGGCCATGATCGATGATTCTAGTTCATTGAAAATTTCTCAACTTTGTAATTCTTTAAGACCTCGTTATCATTTTGTTGGTGGTCTAGTTGATTGGCATTTTGAACGTGTACCATATCGTAATCATAAAGTATTAATTGATACAGCTCGTAATGTTACAAGATTATTATCGATGGCAAATGTTAATAATGTTAAAAAAATGAAATGGATTTATGCTTTTAATATGGTGCCTAGTCGTTATCTAACAGCGCAAGAAATTGCCTCACAACCAGCTGGTGTTACTGAAAATCCTTATCGTAACGCTTTGCAAGAACAACGTGAACAAGATACAATCGAACAAGATCATTCAAATCAATTCCGTTATGATCTTAGCCAAAACCGTAGTAATAATGACAATAATGGCAGAAAATTCAATGATAAACGTAAACGTTCTGATAATCATCCTCATCATCGCCAAGAAGATCATCGACATCGGCAACAAAAAGAACGGAAAACAAATGATGTGATTGAACAACAAAATTGTTGGTTTTGTTTAGCCAGTCCAGATGTGGATAAATCATTAATCGTATCGATTGGTGATCATTCTTATCTAGCATTGGCTAAAGGTGGCCTGACCGATGATCATATGATGATATTACCAATAGAACATATACGATCAACGGTTGAAATCAAAAATAATGATCTACGTGAAGAAATTGAAAAATTTAAACAATCTTTAAAGCAATTTTATCAACAAAAATCAATGATTCCAATATTTTTTGAAAGAAATTTTAAAAGTGCACATTTTCAAATACAAGTATTGGGATTACCTCAGACAAAAATATCATCATTACGGCAAGCCGTGGATGAAGTATTTGAAAAATTTGAATGTCATGAAATATTGTTAAAAGATGAACTTGATGATATGATCACAGAAAATGTACCATATTTTTATTTCGAATGTCCAGATCATTATAAATTCGTTGTACGTATACAAGTGAAACGAGAATTTTTTCCTATACAAATCGGCCGACAATTGATGGCTCATAAATTATTATTGAATTGTCCTGAACGTATTGATTGGAAATATTGTGCACGAAATGTTACAAAATCAGCAACTGAACTAGCACATACTATACGAGAAAGTTTTCGTCCATTTGATTTCACATTATAAATTTCTTTTTTTTTTGCTTCCAAGAATAACAATCTACGTAACGACGATATAAAAACTTGATTCACAATCGTTTCGCCATCAACAACTAGCCATCGTTTTCGAAATCATCTGTAACAACAACAACAGGAACAAAAAAAACCAGAAAAAAAATCAAATTCTTTTTCAGAAAAAAAAATTACAATTTCAGATTGGTTAGAGATTTTTCATTCTTTCATTCTTTTTTTTTTTGGTGGAATGAAATTTTCGGCTCATAACCACCACCATCCACACAATTACCGACCAAACAGACAGACCGACCAGCTAAATATATATAAAAAAAATGCGACAATATCCGACGTAAACCGATTGTATGTGTTGGGAATTTCAAGTATTTTTTCTTTCTTTTTTTCACTAACTTCAAATTGTTATATTTCTGTAACTAAAATGAAATTTCTTTTTTTTTCTTTTTCTCCAGATTCAATTCTATCTTGTTGCGAAGAACGAATATGATACTTTTTTTTGTTGAATGAATGAAGAAAATAAAAAAAGTAAATAGAGACATATCTCAATGAACATTTCTCTGATTTAACCAACGCACACATACACACACTAACAAAATAAAATTAAAAAGTACATCAAAAATGTGTGATGGTGTGTGTGTGTGTGTGTGTGGTGAACATCAAATTCGGAAATGATGAAAAACAAAACAAAATAAAAAAAAATGACTATACAGAATTTATTTCTCTCTTTTTTCAAATTCTCTTGATTCTGTGTGATTTTTTTTTCTTCTTCTTCTGGTGATCATGAGAATAATAATCAAATTTTTGTCGTTTGGTTTGAAATCAACCAACCAACCAACCAGAATTCCGTTTCTAACCAATGATGATGATGGTGAGTGAAAATAATGAAAAATTTCTTAATTTTAATGAAAATTACAATTTCCCGTTTTTTTTCTTGTTGGTTGCTTGCTAGTTTTTTTTTCTTACTCCTCAAACGCTGATGCATTCATTATATTTTCTTCATTTTTCTGGTTCATTGGATACAACAAAAAATTGTCGAACAAATCTACAACGACAACGACATTTTTGGTTCGTTAACTATTTTTTTTTTTTTCTCTTATTTTATGGTTCTGGAATTTCTTTTCCATTATTTTCTGTCAGGAATTGTGTGTCGTATTTATCGATAGAAAAAAATAGATACAATACGATAGATGAGAAAAAAAATTGTCTAATGAAAAACTATTATAATCCCCACACACAATGATGATGATGACATCATATAACTCATAATACTCGATGACTTATACTTATTATCATTATTTTATATTTATTATATTAGTATTATTACGCACAAATGGGAAAAATTGTCTTTTTAAAAAAAGAAAGAAAGAATTTCGAATTGGATTCGAACATTAGCCAAAAATGGTCTTGGTCTCTTCGTGTGCAGTATTACGTTAGTTACCAATGTATGTCATATTAAGTTATTATAACTGGTGTTAATCATGTTCGCTTGACTTCACCATCGTCATCATCATCATCATCCGAATTTGGAACAAAGTTTGATCCTAATTCTTATGTGTTTTTTTTGACAATTTTTTTCCCGTTAACTAAAAGAAAGAAAAAAAAATTACAATCATTCAATGAATGAATTGGTTTACCGTATGGTTTTCTTTTTTTTTATTCATGAAAAACATTTTTTCTCTCTCTCGTTCTTTATATATATTAAAACTTTAAGTTTTTCAGTTTTTTTTTGTATAATGGCAAACATTCACCACTGAGTATAAGTGAAAAAAAAATGAAAACCGATAACAAACACATATTTTGCTGCTATATTCTCTATATTTTTCCATTAATGTTTCGTATATCAAAAATTTTTTTCTTTCGTTGTTCATCATCACAGAATCGTTATGTTGTGACTCCATAACTTTTGGATCGATCATATTATTGTAAAGCTTATGTTAGTCTTTTTCGTTCGTTGTTGTTTATCAATAATGATCACAATGGTGATGATGGTGGATAAAAGTCGCGAAAAACAACAACAACAACAACAGCAGCAGCTAGAGAAAGGAAAAAAAACCTGATGGTTTTTGTTTTCGGGTAGTCGGTATTTTTTTCTTGTTTCTCGCAGTGGTGATGATAATTCAATTTTGATTTTTTTTCGTCTTTCCCTACTCTCTATGGAATATTCGTCATTGTATGATAATTTGTAAATATGATAAGATTATGTTGATGATAATGGTGATTTTTTTTCCTGTTTAACACATAACAGGATTTTCTCGCCAACAAAACACACATACCGAATTCAATTATGTATGATGGACTTTGCAATGATGGGATACATTATCATCATCATTATTATGACCATTATCATTCGGAAAAAAAATTTTCTAATCTTTTTTCGTTTTCGTTTTGCCATCATTCCATCATACATTGAACGTGTTCAATATATTCGATACTTTTTTTGAGATTTCTCTCTCTCTCTCTCTGATTTTGAGATTCTAAACCGATTCATGATATAATTTTATGTAACATACACACACACACACATCACAGACATTGCACGCAGCATATCACATTGTTCAATGAAACATTTTCATGTATAGCCACATTGTGAATCACACACACAGACTATTCGATTCTATTCAGTTTTTTTTTCAAAGTAAGAAAAAAAAGACATTGTCACCACACAACACACACATATACATTTTCAAGTTTCCTTTTTTTTCTCAAAACACACACCATACATACTTTCACTATTCTCAATTCCTATCTCTATTTTTTTTTTTTTTTTTTGCACATTTCATTTCTTTTCCGAGGGCGTTTAAGTTCGCATGTCGTCGTCTTCTTTTTGCTACACAACACGAGAAAAAAAAATACATCATTCATTTTTGCGTGTGTGTGTATATGATTCATTCTCTTATATATTGTTAGTTGTTGATGTATCCCATCCATTCATTCATTCATTCAAACGTCGGCTGGTTATATTATTTCTTCAAAGTAAAAAAAAAAGTATGTTTAGTTACTTTCTCCTGTGATATCGTTCTATATTTTTTTTGTATAAAGATAGAATTATAGATGGATAGATAGATAAAGAATCGTAAGAGAGAGAGAGAGAAGAAGGAATTCAATTCACAATTCTTTCGGTGAATTTTTTTTCTCTTTCTGACTTTTACTTTTTTCTGATTTTTTTTGATTCATTCATTCAACAACATCATTGTAGTTGTCGCATGTTTGTTGTATCTCCATATCTATTCTTTCCATCCAATGTAGAATCATCATCATCATATCGAGAGAGAGAGAAACATTTTCCCCGTGAACATATGACATTGTTGTCAATATAGAGTTTTAGTTTTGAATTGTCGATAAAGCGTCAAAGTTTCTATATTTTCACGATTCTGTAAAATTCTCTGAATTTTACTTTTGATATTCTTTTCCATCCCGTTTCTGTGTTTGTATTTTTTTTTTAAGTGTAAGTTGCGTTGCTAATAAGATTATTATAAATTTTTTTTTTTGACTAAAGGCAAAAATGATTATTTTTTTCGGAAACTGTTTTTCGTGTGGATCTATCCAACCATTTTTTCCGGGTCCACGATGATAAGAGTTTTTTTTCTTTCTCTCTCTCTCTCGACGACGACGACGACAACAACAACAATGATGATGATGAGAAAGAATATCATCACTATTTAGTGGATTTTGTTGTTCACATGAATGTTGATGGAATGTTTCTTGAATGAATGAAAAATGAAAAAAAAACTTGGCGGTAAAGCAAGAAAAACAAAAATAACGATTTTTATTTTGCCTTTTGGGGTGATCACCCAGATGATGATGATGATGATGATGAAAAATTTTCTGATTATTATTATTATTATGATGCTTTTGGGCTAATTACAACGTTTTTTTCTTTTCTTTTTTTCCTTCAGTCTTTCATTCTTCATCTTTGGCAACGCGATTCTACGTTTAATATCGTGTATTTTCATCGTTTTTTACAATAATAATAATAATAATAATCATCATCATCATCATCAACATCGTCATTATTTGGATAGATGGATGGATGGATTCATTTTCTTTCTGGTTTTTTTTCTTAAATTATAATTGTATAGGCCAATCGTGAAGAATCGTTGGAAAAACAATGATGATGATGATGATGATGATGACGAAAAAGAATTATTAGCACAAGAAAAAACAGACGAAATAAACATTTTGCCACACTCGACATCGAAATCGACATTGATGATGATGACGCCTGAAAAGAGACTCTGAGGGATTTTCTATTCGACCTCAATTTTTCTGTATGTTATTTTGGCCATGGCTTTTTATAATAATGATCATGATCATGATGATGATGATGTTATTTATTGTACAACAACCAAATGAAAAAATCATCAAACAAACCATCAAAGACATATGAAAGAAAGTGAAACAAAAAAAAATCAATTTCTGTTTCACTGTTTGGCTTTATATTATTCTTCTTTGTTTCACTTTCAAAATTTCAATTTGTCTTTGTTCATCGTATGAACATGTGTTTTTAGTATATAGTGTTTATAAATGACGATGACGATGAAATGTAAACAACATTTTCGATGAATGCCAAAAAAAAAATTTTTCTATTTTCACCTTCTCATAAAATAAATCATCACATGTCTCTTCGAAATGAAATGAAATGAAATCAAATCAAATCAATTGAATGAATGAATGAATTGTTTCTGAAAATAGACAAATTCATCAAATACTTGAAAATTGAATCAACATTAAATCGATAAAAAGCAGACATAAAAATAAGCTCAAATCATTTCTTTTCAATTCAATCAAATCAAATGGGTGCCTCATCATATGGAAATATCAATATTCACACATTCTTCCAAAGAATTTGTTACAACTTTTTTTTTTGGTTGACTTTCAATCTCTGTTAATTTAATTCAGCCAATCATCCAATCATCATCATCATCATCATCAGCACGATGATGACGATACCATCATCATCATTGAATCGCCTTTCTATTGATGATAATCAAAATTCATCTGTAATGATGCCAAAAGTAAACAATAAAAATAATTGTAATCATCATCATCGTAAAGAATTATTGGTCATTGTAATCATTGCCCTTTTAATCATATCAATTGCAACGACAATCACATTATTGGCCATTATTTATCGTTTACGTTTAATACCGGGATTTGAATATTTTACCATCATTGATGATAATGTGATTCTACATAAAGATACATATATTGATCGTATTCTATTATCTAATAATAATCGTATATCTGGTTTATCATCGATAACTGGAAATATTCGTTTCGAAAGTGGACAATCATTATTACAGATTAATAATGATGGTATACGATTAAAATCAAAAAATGGTCTAGAAATACGTTCATCATCAAATGATCAATTATTATTTCCATTCGATTTAAGTTCATTACCATTGAATTCTATTAAAACATTATCAGTGCCTAACGGTATTCGTGATGTTAAAATGATACGTTCACCATTGAATGAAGATTTGAATATAATTTCCAAAGGAAATATTCGTATCCGTGGCAATGAAGGCATCAATGTTGAAGGCAAACAAATTAAAGTGGACGGGAAAAATATTTTTTTATCATCATTGAATGCAAGCATTATAATGGATGGACATAAAGGAATCTATTTAGACATGAATTCATTCAAATCACGAATCGTACGTCGTCATAGTCGACCAGAAGAAGAATCATCAACCAGTGAACAAATGGATTTACAATACAAATTATGTATATGTGGACGAAATGGACAGCTATTTCGAATGGCAATCAAAGATTCAAGTAGCAGCTGTGCTGATGCCAGATTTCCAAAATCCGATAACCCATGTCTATGATGATTGCGATGATGATGATGATGATGATGATGACATTTTGTTACTTGAATTGATGAAAAAAAATATTATAAAAAACGAAATGAATCCTGTATAACAAAAACAACGAAAAAAAAAACATCTGTATAATATGATAACAACAACATCACCGTAATCAACATATCAAACGAATCAAGAAAAAAAAATCGGGTGACATTCGATTATGACATTCTGCAGTCCGAAAAAAAATTCTATTCATGAAAACATCGTTTTTTTTCGTGCCGAAAATATATTAAATGATGTAATTATGGAAATTGTCCGAACAAAAACAACAACAACAACAAATAAACAGATATATATCACGCAGCTTCAAATAAAGATTACATAAAGATGTTTGATGAATGATCCATGTTTGGATCACACATCGATGATGATGACAATGTTTGTACAAGATTTTTCTTTTTTTGTTTTGTAAATAATCTATGACGTTTCAATTATATTATTATGATAAAATAACGAAAATCGAAATAAAATACCAGAAAAAGAATTGTTATTATGAATCTAATCATCTGTGTGTGTGTGTGTGTGTGTCTGTGTGACATCGATTTAATTCGATGATGATGAAAAAAACATGTTTAGAATATTATCATTATATCATGTGGATCGAGAAAAAAAAATCTAATTGTCAATTTATCGATAAAATGTGTGTGTGTGTTTGTAATATCGATAAATGGTAAAATTTCGATCAATCATAATAAATAATAATTGCATTCGATCAATGTCAATGTGTGATAATATAACTTTATGGAAATCAATTTCATAATAATTATTAAGTAAATTGATGATCGATTGATTCTAATCCTATTTTATTTGAAAAAAGAAACAAAAAAAAATTCTGTCAAATCAAATCTGAAAAAACAGACTTCAAATTTTTGTGTTTTGTTTGTTTGTTTTTATTGAACACCGTACAGCAATCTTGTGACTAAAATTACAACCACAAAAACATGTGTTAGAAGAATTCTATAGAAAAAAAATCCAAAAAAAAGGTTAAAGATCAATTTCTACACATTATAGTAGAGAGTGAAAAATACCCGGTTAGGGTATATATATAGAAAACGAAAACATCATCATTCTGTTTACCGTTATTCACCGATTCATCTGATCACGAGGCGCATGTGAGTTTTGTAAATCTATTTGCCTTTTGCCATTTTATTATTATAAAAGAAAGTTTTTTTTTTGCTCATCTTTTCATCAAATAAATGAAGTTTTTTTTTGTTTTTTTATTTTTCCAAATTTTCAATATAATTTTGTACATAGAAAAAAAAATCAATCATCATCATCATTCGTGGAATTAGTGTGATAACGACACTCGATAATAGATTATCATCATCTTAAATCAACATTCCTTTTTTTTTGATTTTTTTTCGTTACGTCATCTGTAAGAAAAAAAATTACAGCTATATATCCATCCACATTCATTAACATTATCATGATGTTATCAAAGTCTTTCAAGGAGACATTTAAAAGAATTCCACTTTAAACAAAAAAAATCTTTCATCACTCAACACAAGACACAATCATCAGAACCATCGAATTAACGAAAAAAAAGAAACAAAAAACAGGTAAAACCCAGTTTCTCTTTTTATTTTTTCTTTGAATTTATTTTCATTGTCATTTCTTGTTTTTTTTTATCGATCGATCGATTATTCGATTTTCTAATTTCATGGCCTTCACATATAGAAAAACTTACTCCAATTGGTAAACCGTATCTATCTGCATTTGAATGATGAAAATAAAAGAAAAATACATATGGGAAAAAGCCTACTGATTTGTTGTTGTCGTCGTTGTCATTATTATTATTGTTGACGTTGAATATTTTGAAAGGAAATATGTACGTGTGTGTATGTCGGCTGACTTGTGAAATGTTGTGATTATCATCATCATTATAAAAAAAATGTACAAATAAAATATCGATCTAAAACGAAACGAAAACAATCAAGATACAATATTGGTGTCAATCAACCACAATAAATAAATTAATTAATTCATCATTAGCAATAAGTTATCAATTATTTTTTTTTATCAACATCATTAGAAAACATATCGGATTTCATCAATTTTGATTTTGATTTTGATGAGAGTGATCAACCTATTAAATCATTTATTTTAAAAGTGTGTTTCTTTGTGTGTGTGTGTGTGCGTTTGATAGATACATACAGATAGTTGATCTTCTGATTAATTTTATATATCCTGTTTCGCATTATAACAGAAAAAAAAGTTTGCCGCCCAATAAATAAGGTTTGATTTGTTTATTATTTTCACAATATTGTTAATTGTTATTTGTGTGTATCTTCTCAATTATTTAGGATTTTCAATCACAGTCAATCATCATCATCATTATCATCATTAACAATGGATTCTAATCGTCCAATACTTACAATGGATACAATCAATAATAATTTGGTTAAAATGGAATATGCTGTTCGTGGCCCAATACCGACGCGTGCTGTTGAATTAATTCAGGAGCTAAAAAATGGCGCCGAAAAACCATTCGATGAAGTGATTCGTGCCAATATCGGTGATTGTCATATGATGGGTGAAACACCAATGACATTTATACGACAAGTTCTTTCAGCAAGCCTTTTTCCTAAATCGGCTTTATCCGATACACAGCTGCCAAGTGATGTAAAAGAACGAATAAAATTATTATTATCCAATTGTGGTGGCCAATCAGTTGGAGCTTATTCCGATTCGGCCGGTGTGGAAATTATTCGTCGCCATGTTGCCGAATATATTGAACAACGTGATGGCTATCCAAGTGATTGGCGTAATATTATTCTCACCTCCGGTGCCAGTGAAGGTGTTAAATTGATTTTTACATTAATTAATTCGGCTTCAACCGATGGTATACCAACTGGTGTGATGGTACCGATTCCACAATATCCCTTATATTCAGCTACTTGTAGTGAATTAGGAATGAATCTAATTTCCTATTATCTGGATGAAGAAAATGAATGGGCATTAGATATTGCCGAATTACAACGGGCATTAGATGAATCAAAATCCAAATGTAAACCAAAAGCTATTGGTAAGTTTTCTATCGATTCATTTGTTGCTTATTCTAATAATTATTAATTTTCCATTCGACATATATATATAGTTGTGATTAATCCGGGAAATCCAACTGGCGCTGTATTGACCAAAGATAATATTGCTCAAATCATTCGATTTGCACGTGACAATAATCTATTGATTGTTGCCGATGAAGTCTATCAGCATAATATTTGGAAAGAAGGAGCACAATTTTATTCATTCAAAAAGATAATGAAAGAAATCAATGTTCAATTGGAATTGGTTTCATTAATGAGCGCTTCAAAAGGTTATATGGGTGAATGTGGTCTTCGTGGTGGTTATATGGAAATTGATAATTTCGATTCCGATGTTAAAGCCGTTCTGTTTAAACAGATTAGTGCTCGTCTGTGTTCAGCATTGATCGGTCAATTTGCCATAGATTGTATTGTTCGGCCACCACAACAAGGTGAACCATCTTATGAATTACATCAGAAAGAAAAAGAAACTGTCCTTGCATCACTTAAAGGTCGTGCTGAATTAACTACACGTACATTGAATTCATTACCTGGAATAAGATCAAATCCAGTAGCCGGTGCAATGTATGCATTCCCACGTATTCAAATACCGGTTAAAGCAGTTGAAGAGGCTGAAAAACTTGGCCAAAAACCAGATTTTTTCTACTGTAAACAGCTATTAGAAAAGACGGGTATATGTCTAGTACCTGGTTCTGGTTTCGGCCAAATACCTGGAACGTATCATTTTCGAACAACGATATTACCACAGCCAGAATTATTCTCTAGAATGATGAATAAATTTCAACAATTTCATCTAAAATTCCTAGAACAATACGGTGGAATATCGATGGTTAACAATGGCCACGGTTAATGATTTGGAACGAATTACCATCATTTCAACGAGATACAACTGTATTAATACAATAGATTACTGAAATATTGTATCAATTTTCTATTACTACAGTTTAATAATAAAACCCTCTTAGAATATTCCTTTGAATTTTACTAATTTTAGAATCATTTTCGCGTCAATATAGGTGGCGCCACTATTTACCACCTGTTGAATGTTCAATTTAATAGTTTCTTTTTCTGTCATTCTATAATAACCATCAAATAATGTAAATTCAATATAATTGAATGTGCAAAAAAAGTGAAAATTATCTTTTCTGACGATTATTGATAATGAAAATATTTTATTTTATCGATAACAGATGGCAATATAAGCACATCAAATTGAATATATTGAATATATCAAGAATTCTCGATATTATTATTTGAAATGAATTTAAAAACCCTTGAATGTTTGTTATCTTTGTTTTTCGTGTGATTGATTGAAACATGATGGAATTAAAGAATTTATTATTCATATATAATAGTGACTACCAAAAATGGTCTAATGTGAAACAAAAACAAACTAATTCAATTGTATGAAGGAAAAAAATTCATCAATTTTCAAGTATAAAAAAAAATTTGTACAAAAATAATTGACCTTTCGCATGAACTCTGGCTACATGATTTTCAAACCTAATGATCAAATGGATAAAGTGTATTGAAGGATGTATCATGTGTTGTTTTTTGGATGTATATGATCGATACAATGATACATGGTTGTGGTTTTACATGCCCATACCACCCATGCCGCCCATTCCACCCATACCGCCCATGCCACCCATACCAGCCATTGGATTAGCACCTTCTTCTTTGGGTGATTCACATATAACCGTTTCGGCAGTGGTCAACAATGATGCAACACCAGCGGCATCCATCAATGCGGTACGTACTACTTTAGTTGGATCGATAATACCGGCATCAATTAGATTACAATATCGATCATTAAGAGCATCATAACCAAAACTCAATTCATCAGATTCAAGAATTTTGTTGACAACGACCGAAGCATCGACACCGGCATTCTGTACAATCTGCATGCATGGTTGTTTCAATGCTTTTCGGACCAATTCAATACCAATCTTTTGATCTTCATTATCCGGTTTAAGATCATCTAGATATTTGATACATCTGAGCACAGCGACACCACCGCCAGGAACAATACCTTCTTCAACGGCTGCTCTGGTGGCATTCAAAGCATCGGTAACACGATCTTTCTTTTCGTTCACTTCAAGTTCGGAAGAACCACCGATTTTCAGTACGGCAACACCGCTTGAAAGACGGGCTAATCTTTCTTGGAATTTTTCCTTTTCATATTCGGAATTTGTATTTTCAATGTCTTCACGAATTTGTTGTACCCGTTTATCGATTTCAGCTTTATTTCCTTTTCCCTACAGAAACAATATGAGAAAAATTAATACAATGATCATAAGAAGCGATTAACTAACCTTGAGTAGAAGAGTATCATCTTTAGTGATTGTAACTTCACCAATTTGGCCAAAATCATTGTGTTGAATCTCTTCAAGTTTATGAATGTTTGCATCATCACCAAAAACAATACCACCGGTAGCAATGGCAATATCATGCAGGGTATTTTTACGATTATCACCAAAACCAGGTGCTTTCACAGCGGCCACTTGAAGATTGATTTTGATTTTGTTTATGATCAATGTTGTCAATGCATCACCATCCAAATCTTCGGCAATAATAATCAATGGTTTACGTTGATTGACGGCCATTTCCAAAGCAGGTATCAATGATTGAGCGGTGGAGATTTTCTTCTCCGTAATCAACAACAAGGCATCTTGGAATTCAACTTTGTTGCCTTTCGTAAGGAAATAAGGCGATATATAACCACGATCGAATTTCATTCCTTCAATCACTTCCAATTCATCGGAAAGTGTTTTTCCATCCTTGACGGTGAGTACACCATCACGGCCAACTTTTTTCATTGCATCCGATATAAGATCACCAATTTTTCGATCACCATTAGCTGAAATGGTTGCAACCTGTGAAATTTCTTCGGGTGTTGTTACCGGTTTAGAGAATGATTTCAATTTATCAACAACATGTTCAACGGCAGACATTACACCACGTCGAATTTCAATTGGATTGGCACCTTTACTGATTTTTTCAAAACCTTCTTTAGCAATAGCACGTGCTAAGACAGTTGCCGTTGTTGTACCATCACCAGCTTCTTCATTCGTATTGTTAGCAACATCCTGTACAAGTTTAGCACCGATATTCTGGAATTTATCCTTTAATTCGACTGCTTTGGCCACGGTTACACCATCTTTGGTGATTTTCGGTGATCCCCATGATTGTTCAATAATTACGTTTCTACCTTTTGGACCCATTGTAACAGCGACAGCATCGGCCAAAATATCGACACCTTGTAACATTTGTGAACGAGCATCGGCACCGAATTTGATATCTTTGGCTGTACCACGACGACTTTCATGCATATGGCTAGCCGAAATGGCCGATGTAGTTTGTGTTCCATTCACCCGGGACAAATGATGGGTGGCGGTTCGAAGAATTCGTGATACTCGATACATGATGCAATATAAAGGAAAAGTGATGAATTACAATAAAAAAAAAGATCAATCAATGAAATGAATCGTCAAGAAGACCGGCGTGATTTTGGCGTGTCAAGTGAGCTTCAACTGGCAAAGCGATAATGAAGAATGATTTACAAGAAATTTTTATCTCAGCAGCAAGTGAACAGCAAAGCGATAATGAAGAATGATTTACAAGAAATTTTTATCTCAGCAGCAAGTGAACAGTGATCTGGAAAAATCGCGAAATGTTCACATCAAACGAATGATGATGATGGGTATAGCGGGGACAGTATAGAAATGAATAGAAAAACAGCAGTATTCAGCGTGACTTTTTTCTTACTTAAAAAACGGCATGGCGTTGACTGTATGACGCATGCGTTTTATGAATATCATTTTTTTGATGATTTTTTTCTCGTTTTTTATCCGTTTCAAATTCTATTCTATTAATTTTATGGATGAAATTATCAATCAATCATCAATATAATTATTTTCCATATAGATAAAATAAGATCAATATATGTGGGAAATAAAATCGAACACATACGCATATCAAATGAATTGAATGGATCTGGATGATGATGATATATTCGAATTTTTTTTTTCATTTGGCTATAACTTTTCTCGAATGTTCTACAGACATGCGCAACATCGTTGATCGAATCGAAGTTAAGCAGCACATGTTCACATTATCTATTTGCTTCAAGTAAAGACAAGTCACATTTATTGCCATTTACATTTGATCAACGATTTGCATCATACATTTTTTTAAAAGCATTTTCAATCAATTTCATCAATCTAACAAAAAATAATAAAAATGGTAACTAAAATGAATTGATTGAAAAATAACCCTGACCATTTTTTTTTGTTCATCACTACCCAAACAAACAGGCCGGTAATATTGGACGTCGATTAATTCCATTGTTGGATCGTGTACTTGTCGAACGATTTATACCACAAACAACAACAAAAGGTGGTATTGTTCTACCAGAAAAAGCACAGAATAAAATACCAACCGGTACTGTTGTTGCTGCTGGTCCTGGACGTACAACTGAAAAAGGTGACGTTATTCCGATGGGCGTGAAAACCGGTGACAAAGTACTCTTGCCAGAATATGGTGGTACAAAAGTCGAAATCGAAGATAAAGAGTATTATATATTCCGTGATTCGGAAATTCTTGGAAAATGGCAAGACTAATATAAATAATGATGATTGGGATCATTTCACATTTTCAGCTACATATTTTTTTCTGTCCAAAATCATTTCATAATAAATATCAATTAGTTTAATTTTGTACAAAAGAATGAATTGCTGTCCAAAAACAATTTAGTCGTATTAGTTGTATTGATTGTTTGAAATGTAATTTTTTTTTCGATATGATGTGTCATTTATATAGCCAAAATTAAAAAAAAAATTTAAATTTTCCATGAATTATGAATATTTTCGAATCAATTCAGAACGTATCAAAACGATTAATTTAAGAATTTTTTTATCATCAGCTGTTGCATTGATTTCGGACATGATTTGATCAGTGTCGATACAATTTTCAGGATAGATATTTTTCACTATTTGATTTGGTGAAAGAAAGAAAAAAAATTCTAATTCATTTGACAAAGATATTCATAATGCTTACATTCAATATTGTTGCCAACATGTGCAATATCAAATGAAAATGTACGATCATCATCATCATTTTCATTTTTAATAGGCAATTTGTATAATTGAACATTCCAAAGTGTATCACTTTTGTTGTAAATATTTAAGCCAATAAAATCAGATGTATCATCAATATTTTCCAATTTTTTCTTTTTATTTTCCATTTCAGATTCTAATGTGGAAATATCTATTTGGAATTTTTTCGGGAAAAAAACCGGATAACTTTCAAATTTAATAATTTTAATATATATATGAACAACATACGTTTTTTGAGATTTGAAATCTTATTCATTGATTTTTCAATATTTTGTAATATAGTTTCATTTTTTGATTTTAATAAATCAATTTTTTGTTTCAATTTTTCCATTCTTTTAGTGTATTCATATTCTTTTTTGAGACTTTGACGATATTCTTGAGTAGAGCAAAACAAAAAAAAACAGTTAAAAAATGTAATTATTAACATGATCAAAAATCCTACCTTCGATATGACGTGGATAATTCAGAAATATTTCCGAATCATTTTTAACTTCTGTAAAAAATCTTGACCATAGAATTTCAATTTGTTTTCAATCTCCTGTGTGAGTTTATCGATTTCAGTTTCGGTGGACATTTTGATGATAAAACAAAATTTCGAAAAAACAATTGACACAATGTTTAGTGTTTATTGAATTCTCAACCGCCACTTTATTGCTGCTATTTCGACTCTATAAGTTGAATGTGCGTTTGGATCGTATTAGACTATTGTTTGATGTGATCATCGAAATATAATAATGATTCTCTTCACCATTCGATTTGTTTAATTCGGTTTTGATAATTTTGTATACAATAAAATGAAAAACAAAAAGAAAAATCAATTCATTCAAATTGTCGATGAATCGGGTACATTCTTGTTGGATGGTCGTCGACAATGTATGTGTGAGGCAAGCAAACATGAATTGATCAACAATTGCCTTAATTGTGGTCGTATTGTTTGTCAACAAGAAGGCAGTGGACCATGTTTTACATGTGGAACATTTGTCCTTAACAAACAAGAACGTGATCAACTATTATCCGGTTCCGATGAAGCAATACAGAAAGTACAACAATTAGCTGATTCTGGTGCACGTTTGGATTTTATGGATCAAGTGGCCAGCTGTTTGAATACAAAAAAAAGTTTAAAAGAAATTGCTGCTTCATTGACGAACGATCCAAATCTTGATAGAGCAATTGAACATAAAAATAAACTGTTGGAATTCGATAAAAAATCCGTCGCACGATCCAAAGTATTCGATGATCAGGTCGATTATTTTACTATACAATCACAGAATTTTATCACTGAACAAAATCGTCAAACCATTGCCAATCGTGTTGATTATATTGTTGAAAATAAATTCAATAAAATCGATAAAATTGCTATTGATTTCAATAATCTTACCGTTAGTGATTATACTGAATCAGTAATTGAAAATATTGATGATGAACACCGTAAATTGGAAGAACTGAGTACTATTACCACTGATTATGAGCTAAAACCATCATCATATTTCATCGATAATGATGATAAGACAATGGACAAGAAAAGTCTGCCTCCACCTATCTATGTTCCAAGCCAGGATACGATTGATGGTCATGACAAAAACAATGGTGGCAATAATAATAATAAAAATCGAATGAAAACCACTAATTCTAATCATTCAAACAAATCTATCATATTGCCAAAAATGGTTTCAAAAATGAATGAATATGAACATCGTGTACAGGACACTGAAATGGCAAAGATTGATGATCATGGTATGTGTTTGGCAATTCGTCAACCATATGCATCATTATTGGTGGCCGGTATTAAACGTTTCGAAGGCCGTACATGGTATAGTCCATTCAAAGGACGTTTATGGATTTATGCTGCACATAAAATGCCCAGCGATGAAGAAATTCAAAATGTTGAACAATTCTATAGCCATTTAGGTAATAAAAATTTTCCACGCAATTATCCAACTAATGTGATTGTTGGTTGTGTTATTATTGAAGATTGTTTACCCGAAGAAATTTATCGAAAACAATATCCTGAATGTGAAATTGAAAGCCCATATGTATTTGTTTGTGATTATCCAATTGCATTTATGAGGCCATTGCCAGTAGCTAAAAGTGGTGGCCGTCAAATATATCGATTAGAGCCAAAAATTCATCAAGCTTGTAAAGGATTACTTGGATTTTGATTATTGTTATAATCAATAATCAATCAATAAATGATGATTTATTTTTATTTTCTAAATAAATAAATTATTAAAAAAAAATATAGATGCAAACAAATTTTTCTTTCTTTCTTTTTTTTATGTCAAAACATAAAGACATTAAATAAATATTTATATAATATAAAATACATCAAGTGAATTGAATTCATGGCATAGTAATGTTTAGACTATTTTAAAAGAAAAAAAATTTAACATTAGAATTCATCATATATAAGATGCAATACAAACACTGATTGCTTTTGGTCAAAATGACAAAATTATATGGACAAAAATATACAAACAAAAACACACACACAAAAATATCACTTTGAATAATGTAGAATTATAAAATCGATTCTATTCTATAATTCTGTAGTCATTACTGTTCGTTTATTGGCCGTTTGATGATGATTATGGTGGTGATTATGATGATGATGATGATTATTCATTGATGTACTACGTTTCATTGAATCACAGGTTGCTGAAACAATATATGGTGAGTTATTATTATTATTAATATTATTATTGTTGTTGTTGTTGTTATTATTGTTGATTCCACCATTAGAATTATGGATTCCTGGACCGGTAGTTCCGCTATTATTATTGTTATTATTGAGAACAGAAACCGATCTAGTAATCGGATTTGCACAGGCAAATGATGTTTCAACAAGAACTGGTGATGGTGACAATGATTCACGACATGATGAATCATCTGATGGTTGAAGATTACTTTGACTACTACTTGTACTGCCACTACTAAGGCCACTACTTCCTCCATTAGGATATTTTGGACAGAATCCACCACCACCATTACGGCCACCATTTGTATTGGAATTATTTGTAAAACTATTACTATTTTTTAATAGATTACTTTGTGCCACAATTGAACCACTATCCAATGATTTAGTAGCCTTATGTACGATAATCGATTGTTGTTGTTGTTGATCACAGTTATTATTATTATTATTATTAATATTTTTCCATTGACGTGATGAATGATTAGTCGTTGTCATTGTTGTCATCATACGATTATCATTTCTATTGTTATTTAAGGCTGTGCCGGTTATATTATGAACATGATCAGCACCACTATTAACCGGTATGATTGTTATATTATTCTCATCTGGACGATTAATCAATGGTATCATATCCTCTTCATCATCTTCATTGATAATTGTCTCATTTTCAGAGCTTGATACACGGCCACCTGTTGGATCACCATTATTATTATCATCATCATTGGATCTAGATGATTCAAATGAATCATCTAGGCTTGTCTGAATTTTTTGTCCAAATGATGTTGTTGTCGTGCTACCATTTCCAATGTTACGATTGTTATTATTATGGTTGTTATTGTTGTTGAAACCATTAAGTGAAATTTTTGCCGTTGATGATTGTTGTGAATCATTTAATCCTACGCCATTACAAGTAGCACATATATCATCAGCAGCAGCAGCACCACCACCACCGCCATCAACAAAAACATGTTCTTTCTGTAACTCTTTTGCTTTTAAAATGTTACATTTTGCTTTATTACAGGTGATTGAATTTGAATTATTTATTTGTCGTTGAGATGTATTTGATGTCGTTGTTGTTGTGGATGTATTTAATGTTGTCGTTGTTGTTGTTGTTGCTGCTCACCAGTCGTACATTATTATTCATAGCATCCATGTTTGTCATTTTTTGTTTCAAAATGAGACCATTATTATTATTGCTGCTATTGTGATTAGCGTTCGAATTTAAATTCTTAACAACATTCGTAATGTTTGTTCGTTTAGAATATCGTCTGCCAAATTCCTCTTCATCATCTCCGTCATCAAAATCTGAATGATTAAAATGATGATCATTGGAAATATTGACCATTATTTCAGTCTTTTGTTCAACACTATTATTGCTAGTATTGACAATAGGATCGGCTTTTGATAGTGATTTAATCAGGCTATCAAGACGTTGTTCTGGTGATGTTTGTTCGTACGCCAACGATGATGATGTCGATGGAATCGATGTATCCGATGTGGCTGCTATTGATTTATTATTCGTCATTGTCGTTGTCGTTGTTGTTGTTGTTGTAGATGTCAAGATTTTACTATTATTATTAGCATTATGACATTTATCCGATGTCTGACTATTTGATTGTTCCATCATTTTTGAACCAATAACAACCGATTTGACCAATGGACTATTAATGGCCATAGAAGTTTTATTCATTATCGATGGACTTGTAATGGTGAAATTTGTCGATGAATTAGCTGGTATACTGGTACCAGTTGCAATAGCAGCAGCATTGGCACCATGAATCGATTTAACTGAACGACGACTAAACCTTTGTGATGGCCGTCGTTCAAAATTACGTTTACTTTCTTGTTGTGCTGTTTTCTGTTGCTGTATGATTGCCTGAAATTGTGTTCGACCGGAATAACGAAAACGTGAACCCATTCGTACGAAACTTTGTCTTGTTTTACCACGTTCAAATTGTGGTTGAGATTTTAGTCGAAAAAATGCATGATGTTCAATAGCACATTTCCATAAATGTTTCGATGTTTTTGATGTATGCTTTTAAATAAGAGAAAACAAAAATACAAACAATTAATAAAAAATACAACAAAAAAAAAAAAAAACACGAAACGGCCATCATTATCTATAGATAACAAAAGGCAAAAATATATTTAAATTTCAATTCAAAAAGAAAATATTCCCTAAAAATCATCATCATCATCACCATCATCATACAAAAAAAAAGGCAACAACAACAATGAATTGAAGGTAAAATATTTGTACAACGACGAATATACCATAAAATGTTCAATGATGGTTGATTATTATGGTCTGCTGTATTATTTATTTGGTTAATATTTTTCTTTTCGACCTCGATTCAAATGAAGAATACAAAAACACACACACATTCTTTCAAGAAAAAAAAAATTCAATTTTTTGTCTACATGTGGGGTTATTATAGCAAAAAAAAAAAAAAAAATTCTATTTTTACTCATCGCTTGTTTTGTTTATTATCGTTGTTGCTTTGTTATATTGCTGCCCTTTATTTTGATGATAATGACCAAAAAAAAAAAAAAAACATAACCAAGTAAATTCTATTGAAAAAGAAAATCCTATTGTTATGATTATTGATGATGATGATAATGTTCGACAAGAACACACATCACATGGTGTTAAACAAGTCGTAAATTTTTTTTTCGATTTTTGATTCGTTCGTTTGTTTGTTTGTTGTTTGGATGGATGAAAAAAAATTCAAAGAAAAAAAAAACGAATAAATTTTCAAAATCTGAATCAATCGATTGATTTCGATATTTTTGAATAATAATTAATCAATCTGCTATTGTCACACGTTGTGTGTGTGTGTGTGTTGATCTATACCGTATTTGGTGAATTATGTGTGCATATAAATGAATAAATTAAATGTTTTTTTTTCAACAACAACAACAACAACAACAAAAACAAAAAACAGGAGTAGGTCAATTTAAATTTGCTGTTACAAAACATAGCCAACAACAAAAAAGGTGTGTGTGTGTGTGTATGAAAATAAATAAGTTACGGGTGTGCGTGTTTATATTGTATGACAGGCAAACACACACGCGTGTATTGTGTGTGTGTGTGTGTGGCCGCCATATAAAACCGCAAAATCTGTATCGAATCTAATATGAACAACAACATTAATTTTTCTTTTTTTTTCATTCTTTGTCTCTTTCTGATTGACCATAGTGACGGATGACGAATTATTATGATGATGATGATGATGATGAAATGGGAGTTTTTTTTTTTGATGATAATCAAAAAAAAATGAATGGAAAAAAATGTAATGATGATCAAAAAAAAAAAAAAAAAAGATTACTTACCAAACGAAAAACAAAGGTGTGCTCCTCATCATGGCCATCATCATCATCCTCTACAACGACCAATATCAATTTCTTTCCGCGTAGATCAAGTTTTTTGATTTTAGGCCAAAAAAATAGGCCAATTTTTGTTTTACCTTCAAACACTAATATACCGGTGGGCGTCAATCCTAAACTATATTCATTACCATCTTTACCTAAATTTTTTTTTCGTTGTTTTGTTTTGTTTTATGGGGGGTCGCGTATGGGAAAAGATAATAAAAATAGAAAAAAAAGAAAAGAAAAGATTAAAAATTACGAATCACATCACATCATATAAAGGTAGACAATTTCAAAATTTAGATCACAATCCTTCTATGGTTTGAGGTTATTTCGATATTTTTGAATAATAATTAATCAATCTATTGTCACACGTTGTGTGTGTGTGTGTGTTGATCTATACCGTATTTGGTGAATTATGTGTGCATATATAAATGAATAAATTAAATGTTTTTTTTTCAACAACAACAACAACAACAAAAACAAAAAACAGGAGTAGGTCAATTTAAATTTGCTGTTACAAAACATAGCCAACAACAAAAAAGGTGTGTGTGTGTGTGTGTATGAAAATAAATAAGTTACGGGTGTGCGTGTTTATATTGTATGACAGGCAAACACACACGTGTATTGTGTGTGTGTGTGTGGCCGCCATATAAACCGCAAAATCTGTATCGAATCTGATATGAACAACAACATTAATTTTTCTTTTTTTTTCATTCTTTGTCTCTTTCTGATTGACCATAGTGACGGATGACGAATTATTATGATGATGATGATGATGATGAAATGGGAGTTTTTTTTTGATGATAATCAAAAAAAAATGAATGGAAAAAAATGTAATGATGATCAAAAAAAAAAAAGATTACTTACCAAACGAAAAACAAAGGTGTGCTCCTCATCATGGCCATCATCATCATCCTCTACAACGACCAATATCAATTTCTTTCCGCGTAGATCAAGTTTTTTGATTTTAGGCCAAAAAAATAGGCCAATTTTTGTTTTACCTTCAAACACTAATATACCGGTGGGCGTCAATCCTAAACTATATTCATTACCATCTTTACCTAAATTTTTTTTTCGTTGTTTTGTTTTGTTTTATGGGGGGTCGCGTATGGGAAAAGATAATAAAAATAGAAAAAAAAAGAAAAGAAAAGATTAAAAATTACGAATCACATCACATCATATAAAGGTAGACAATTTCAAAATTTAGATCACAATCCTTCTATGGTTTGAGGTTGAACCAAAAAAAAAAAAAAAAAATAAATAAACAACTGGACAGAACAACAAAAGGATTTTTTTTCGATTGTTACAAGATGAAAAAACAGAACAGATAATAATAATGTTTGCTTTCAATTTTTTTTTTTTTTTTTTTGATGTGGATTGAAATCACAGGCTGGTTTAGAGAATCCAAATTAGCCAAATGAATAAAAAAGAGAGGAACAAAAAATATTTTTAGAATCAACAAGTGAACAACACACACACATAAGGTACACAAGGTCATTGTTTATCTCTTTCTTTCTCTATTTTTTTTTTGTTTTCATCTGGTTTTAGGTCGTGATCAACATCATCATGATCATGATTATGATCAGATACATAGTGTTTTTTTTTTTTTGGTTTATTGGCCATTTGTGGAAACAACACCTTAATTCGGGTGAAATTTTTCTGTTGTTGTTGTTGTTGTTCAGTTGTAATCAACAAGTGTGTGCTATATGTTTGAGCAGGAAAAAAACCATGTAAATCCAATATAGATGATGATAATCTATGTTTTCATTTTTTTTTTTGATTTTCTTTTAATTCATTTTTGTTTTTAGGTTAGTAAGTACAAACCACAAAGAAAACAAAGAAAGAAAAACCAATCTCATCATCATCATCATCATTTTATATGAAGATCGAGCACATTAGATAATAATTATAATGAGAAGAAAAAAAATATGAAACATACACACACACACATTTGCACCCTGGATAACAATAATTAAAAATCAAAATAAGAAGAAAAAAAAACAAGATTTTGTGATTTAAATTCAATCAATCCAAGGAGAATGAAATGAAATGAAATGGACAAGAGAAAAAAAAAAGATCAATCAAAATTTGGGGTGAAAAAACAGATTTTGCTGTTGTTGTCTGCTTTCATTTTGAATTTATTATGCATCGATCGATCCACATCCAATCCATCATCATTCAGCAGGCAAGAAAAAAAACAGTATTTCAAAATTCCCGAAACACTCAAACACACTCACACACACACACACACACACACACACACCTGAGAAACACATTTCCATTTTCTATGATAATACAAAACAGCAACAAATGACTTGATAAAATTTTCTTTTTTTTCACATTTCATTCCATTTCGTTTATAGATAAAAACACACACACACACGAACAGCAACACATCTACAAATAATTTATTCATCATAAACTCTTCCGGTGTATGGTAGTGTAGTGGACCATTGTATAGAGAAAAAAATCGATTGTCATGCGATGTTGATTTTTAACCAAAAAGATTGTCTGGTGTGTGTGTTATTGAACTTGTTTGGTTTGTGTGTGTGTGTGACCGGAATCATATTTTTTTACATTTGTTTTTTTTTTGTTGTTTGGTGACATGTATTTTTTTTTTTTTTTTTGAAAACATCCACTGCTGTCCATTATCAAAATAATAAAAAAATATTGATTACAAGTAATCGTTGCAATAATCAACAAAATCTAAATCTGATCATCACAAATAACAATTGTGTGTGTGTGTGTGTGTGTGATGTTACTTTGACAACAACAATTTCCGAGCACCTGTATCATTCGAAAACAAGTAGGATCATAATAATGATGAATGGAATGTTACAAACAACAACAACAACAACAACAGCGGCAATGGATTTTTTTTTAGGACAACAACAAGAAAAAAACGCGTGGAAACCATCAATTTGTTATGTGAATCAAATCGATTGAATTCAAAAGAAATGAAGAAAAAAAAATGATTCAAAATTCGAAAATTTCCAAAAATCAGGATTTCCGTTCGTTATGGACTAATTGTTGTTGTTGTTGTTGTTGTAGTTTGTTTGTTTGTTGAATTGATTATTATTAGTGGAAAATTTCTTCTCATTTTTCACTCACAACATCGATAAAGGAGATGATGATGATGATCAGTTTAGTTTGATATTGGTCAAACAGCACAAGTCACGAATTCGTGTATTTGTGTACGGACATTATTATATCCACTATACTATTCTGCCACATGTTGATGATGATGATGATGACTTCCAATTAACGGTTTATATATCAAGATGATATACATCATAAATGGAATGCTAATAATAGAGCTTCATCGGTCAGTAATGGTCAAAATAAAAATAAAAAATTCATTCCATTCCAAAGGAGAGAAACAAAAACAAAACAACCAATCAATTGGATGATGAATGTATAATGTCGACGACGACGACGACCTAATCTCGATTTCGTTTTTTTTCATGTTTTCATCATCATTTGATGGTAATAATGGTAGAAATGAAAATCACCATAATTGGTAAGTAAGGTAAATACTACACACCAGCGAATCTATTGTTTGAATAATTTTTTTTCCTATTTTCTTATCATATCACATCATTATTATCATCATAATCATCAAGGAGAAAAGACCAAAACTATGAACTGGAGATTTTTCATTTTTAAATTTAGAAATCAATTAAATGATGATGATGATGATGTGAGATGTGGTGGTGATGATACCGAATGGCACCCAATCAAACTAGCATTAATATTTAGGATGTTTTTTTTCATCTCAAGAAAAAAAAATGGGAGCAAAAGAAATAAAAAAAATGGTCCATTGTTCAATCTACACATTATCGATGGAACAAGAAAAAATACATTGAAAGAAGTGAAAAAATTCTCACAATCAATGAAAACTTGAGATGAAGAAAAAAATGAAACGCTGTTTGACGTTATTTTCAGCCATTTTGATTATAAATAATAATGATGGTGGTGGTCATAATAATGAATTTACACGTTCAGCCACTATAGTGTATGATAATTAAAAAATTTGTTCATCAATAATGATGATGATGATGATGATTGGCAATCAATGAAAACTTGAGATTGTCAAACCGAGAGGGAAAAAACGTGGTAACGTAGCAGCAGCATACACACTTAATAATGGACCATGTGTTAATTAATATTATTAAGCAAGAAAAAAAAATGAAACGCTGTTTGACGTTATTTTCAGCCATTTTGATTATAAATATAAATAATAATGATGGTGGTGGTCATAATAATGAATTTACACGTTCAGCCACTATAGTGTATGATAATTAAAAAATTTGTTCATCAATAATGATGATGATGATGATGATTGGCCTTAATTACAAATCAATCGAATATTGATGAAAAAAAAATCTATTAAATTACGATATGGAAATTGTGTTATCAAAAAGAAAGAATGAAAATATTGATTTCTTGACATGTGTGTGTGTGTGTGTGTGTTTATGTAGCCAATGGATTCGAGGCTATTTCTTTTGAATTTGGCTAAACATCTGCATGCATATGCGTGTGTGTGGTTCAATACCAAATTAAGCAACATCCATCGACATTGAACATTATGACATTTTAATAAAAAAAATATAGAAAAAAAAATCCTACACTTACCAAGAACGGTATGCATATCGACACCATACATTTCAAGCCATTTAGCTTTATTTAGATAATTAGATTCAGCTGTTGCTGAATCCATTGATAATGCAGCTTTTAATGATTCTTTTTTATTTTCAGCAACATCATCCGGTAATATTGGCCGTAATGAACGCCATTCATCCAATATTTGTTGTTCCAATTGTTCGGTTTGGCCTGGCATAAAACGAAATTCCGAAACAAATACGAGATCATGTTCATCATTTTCACAATCACCAAATTCTGATTGTAATGAAAATGAGGCTAATGTTGCCGCTACTTCTTCGGTGCATGGTAATTTTCCGCTTAATACATCTTGTTTTAGCTAGAATTTAATTTTTTTTTGGGTGAAAAAAAAGAAGAAATTTTCATCATTTTGATTTCACAATCAAACATTGTATAGAAGAAAAAAAAAAAAAAACGAAAAGTGACAGGTTGTTGACAAGCGATTTTTTTTTGTTTGTTTGCTTGATTGAAGATGGGCAAGGTTTGTTACTGTTCATTTCATCTGACATCAAATGATCAGGTGGCAAAAAAAGGCATTGTTGTTGATTCGCATGAAATGTTTTTTTTTTTTTGTTTTTTGTTTTCATTGCTCACCATACAAATTGGCCAAATTCATTGAACTTTCATTGATTTTGAATCAACAGATGACTACAAGTTACAATCTCACGATCAAAAAAGAAAAAAAAATCACTGAAAAAACAGACGACTAGGAATTTTATTTTATTTTTTTTTCGAAGAAAAAAAAATGTGAAAAAAAAATAATTTCACTTTTCACATGCAATCTGTGAACCACTACCCAAGAAAAACCAAAAACCGGATCAACGAAAAAAAAAGTCAATGGCCATGACAATGAAATGGAAAAAAAATTGTGTATCATTTCTAAAAAAAAGAAAAAGAAATGAAAAATCTAAGGAATTTTTAGAATCCCAAAAAAAAACTGATCAAATTCAAGAAAAACAAAACAATAAAAACAGATCAATCATGATTGGCCACCATAGTAAATGATGATGATCAAACAGCATGAGCTACACGATTGATTTGATCTGTTGTTTTGTTTGCTACACATATAAAAGCCACTTATAATGGATTTGAATTAAATTGAATTCCACGACGACAACAACAACAAAAAATTTGAATAGAAAAATTGTCAAAGAAAGATTTCAATTTTCATTCAAATTCAAGTCAAATTAAAATTTTTTTCTCTTTTCTTCATCACACACACACAAACAATTTTGGATGTTTTTATATAATGAAAAAGATGAGCACTGAAGATGAAAGAGAAACTTTTTCGTAATTCGTAATTGGATATTTCGTATTTGTGTGTTTGGAGAAAAGAAAGAAAAAAAAGCACATCATCATCATCTTGTTTATAAAAAAAAAAAAAAAAAATTCATCATAAATAATAACTTTTTTACCATTTATGTCACAGTTGTGTTAATCGAAAATTCTTTTTCATTTAGATTTAAAAAACAAAATAAAAAAAATTTAATAATTAAGATTCGGTTTCATATATGAGTGGTGTCGAATAAACATTTCATTTCATTTTTTTTTTTTTTTTTTTTTTTTGATTGATTGATTCTAATTAGCAAAAATAGATAAAAATAAATGAAAACCCGAGGCGTTAAACACACACACACACAGTTGTTAATCCAGTTATATTCAAAATTCAACAAGAGAAAACAAAAATCGATAGATAAGTTCAATGGAATGAAATTGGAAAAAAAATCAAATTTCAATCAAATCCACACACACACACACACACACACACACATTTCAACGCGTGCCATTTTCATTTTATTTGATCGATAATTAATCTTAATCATCATCAGTTGATGATAAGAAGGAAGTGTTTTTGTTTGATTTTATCCCAGATCTAATTCTGAATGAAAAAAAACAACATGGATGAATTAACAACAACAACAACAACACAACATCCCATTGACAAATGAATCATAAAAAACTCGGAAATGAAAAAGAAAAAAAAAACTTTTTCATAATTTTAGTGATGATTCACGCACCATCACCATCACCAACACCACCACCAACACAACACATTACAAATTATCATTTATTATGATCTGAGAGAGTGGGAGAGAGAGAGAGAAAGAAAAAACCAATCGAATTTTTTTTTATTTCGAAAAAATTATTGGCTCATCAATTTTTTTTATGGATTATGATCACAACAACAGATGCTGATGCTGTTTGTAATTTCAAATAAATTTTTTTTTCGTTGTTGTTGTCGTTTTGATTTCGAAAAAATCTTTTGTTGTTGATCAACAACAACAACAACAATGTGAATGTGAAATGTGAAAAAATCCACAGAAAAAGGAAAAAAAATCAAGGCGTCGGTTATGGATGGTCAAGTTGTTGTTTGTGAATTTTTTATTTTCGTTGAAAAAGAACAAAAAAGAAACATGACAATTTGACTAACAAGACAAACATTCTCTCTCTCTCTCTATCTCGTGTTCGTTTGAAACAATACCAAAAATTCAATCAATTCAAGGACTAGCTTGTTGTTGTTGTTGTTGTTGTCGGGGCTGTGTTGTTTTATACTAATGTTCACAATCATTACAAAATTAAAGCAGTCAAGAACGATGATGATGATGATGATGAAAAATAAAATCAAATCTAATCGAATTTGATGACGATGTTAATAATAATTTTAAACATTGACCGATAATCGATTTATGGTCAATTACAGAGAGCAGAAAGAATGAAAAAAACTAGATGAAATGAATAAATAATAATGAAAATAAAGCTTGAAATGCTTGCACAAATATTCACTCATCAATCAATCAAATGGGCCATTTTGTGTGTCGACAATTCATGAACCATTACAAACATTGATCAAACAAAATCGATCAAACAAAACAAAAAAATAGATTCTCCTTCCTGAATGATTATTTGATCAAAATTACAAAACAAAAAAAAAAACAAAACAAACGGGAAAAAAATTTCAATTCTCAAATAATCGAATATTCCAAACACACTGCATTTTTTTAGCTACTTTTAACTGTGTGGCCATCAAACGATCATCAAAAAAAAAAAATTTCATCTGACATTGACAAGGTCGAAATTTTTTAAAAAAAATGGCCAAGGTTCTAGGGCCTCTTCAAAACTTGTTTTCAGGCATCGACAGGTTGTCGATGATGATGATGATGATAATATTGATTGAAGCGAAGATGAAAATCATCATCATCATCAGATAGATAAATAGAGAAAAAAAATAGGTTTGCATTTTTTTTGTTACATACCTGTAAAAAGAATAGATATCGGCTATATTCATCACGTAATGTATTTGGATCGGAACAATAAAATTTCACTTTAAAACGAAATGTATATGGTGGACCAATTTTCACCTGTTTACGTAATTCTTTTGTATTATCTAACCAATGTAGTTGAGAATTTGTATCAGTATATTGTAAGGCAAAATAATCTGATTCAACATATAAACCAATATGATCACAAACACGGCTAAATAATTCTTCACCAAAACTTTTTTTTCTCATATATAATGTCATATCAGTACCATCCAATAATATCACTTTACAATGTAATGATCCTTTCTGTTGTCGTAGTTTTTCCTGTTCATTTTCTTGTTGATTCAATGGACGTGCACCGGTAGTACGTCTACGAAAACGTTTGGATAGAAAACGAAACATTTTGTTGTTGTTGTTGTTGTTTGGTTGGTTGGTTGGTTGGTCAGTTGTCGTTTTCGGTTGTTGTTGTTGTTGTGATGTAATCAAGTAAAATATTTGTGAAAAAAAACGAAAAATGAAATAAGATATTATTGTTGATGTGCAAAAGAGAATGGAAACAAAAAAGTTTGCAGGAAGTTGAGACAAAATGACAAAAAAAAAGTTTTAGTTTTCCGAAAAAAATGAAAATTTTTTCTTTTTTTCTTCAAAGACAAAAACAAAACAAAAAAAAAATTAAACACATCAAATGACACAAAGACACACTGAAATTTTTCTATGATGATGATAATGATGACGAGGATGACAAATAAAAGAAAAAAAAAAAAATGTGAAATTGTCTTTGGATTTCTTCTCTCATTCAGATGTGTGGATTACGATAATGACAATTATGATGATATGATACAGAGAGACAAGCGCAAAAAAAACGATTAAATTTTTTTGATTATAAAATATTAATCCAAATAAAAAAAATGGTGACCATGGTAACGACAACAACAACCACCACCACCACAATGACATTTAAAGAGAAAGAATTTTGTTTTTTTTTCGAAACAAGAGCACATATACACATACAAACAGTTGATGTCAATTCAACAAGTGGTAATCATCATCAACATGATGTCAATGATTATTGATCAGGATTCAAATTACTATTTGTAGAGATTGATGATCATCATTTGTTGACATTAGAACACTTGAGATCATTATTATTATTGTATGCAAGTACCAGGTGATTTAGATCAATTTTTTTTTTTTTTTTTTTTGGATGTTGACAACACAACAACATTTATATTGCACATATGTGTGGTTTATGTGTGTAGGTAAATGGAAAAATTTATAACCATCGACCATTTATTGGTATGATCTTCGTGGTAAAAAAAAAATGCGGCACAAAATAAAACCAGATATCAGGACATACAGACATACAAACGAACAGCCCAGTGAGACAAACAAACATCGATAAGATGTCAACAACAACAACAAAAATGGTCAATGTCACATCTTTACATTGAATTTATTGCTACATGGATGAATATGGTTTTTTTTTCGGGAAAAAAGCAAATTCCTGGCAAATATCAAATAGGCACGCACGCACACACTGAAACAAGTAAACAAACAAACAGAAATGTAACAGTTGGTTTCAAGTTGTTTTTTTTTAATCATTAAGATTATCACATTCAACAGGTGGATTGTCATTTAATCAATAAATGTAGACAAAAAAAAGTTCATATTTCAGATGTTCAAATGGGGAATTGTTGAATTGTTTCGTTGTTTTGTTTTCAATGAATTTATAACAGTGGACAATCAAATTGAATGGGTTACGAAAATTTCATTCATTCATTCACATACGGATTGGATCGAATGGCAAAACAACAACAACAACAACAACAACAACGATGATGATGATGACTGGCTTCAATTTGTGTGTGTGTGTGTGTGTGTTCATGAAACTTTTTTTGGCTCTTTTTTTCCAACTTCTCAACAACAACAACAACAACACACACACACTATGCATTTAATGTAGTTAGGAAAGAAAGAAAGAAAAAACTCGAATCTCAAAATTCAATCTTTCTCTCAATTAGCTCAATGTGTGTGTGTGTGTGTGTGGTGTTTGCAAATGGCAAGTCTTTGCATATGCCAATGTTTTTTTTTATATTTTTTTTCCCCATTATTCATTCAACATTCACAACAAACACATAGCCTCTCTGTTTCTCTGTTTGCTGCTGTTGTTCAAGGTAACCACCACCACCACCACCACTACCGATGAACCACCAGAGGAAAAAAAATTTCAAACAAAATATAACAAGAGTGGTAGTATAAATGGTCAAAACAAGGAACAGGTATATTCAACAACAACAACAACAATGACGTAGAATGATCAAACAAGGTGTTTGCTATTTCTATTGCTGTAAAATAAAAAAGTTGAAGCAACAAGTTGTTCAACAACAACAACAACAATAACAACAACAACAGCTAAACTAAACTGCTAGATTCGCCTTATTATCATCATCATCATCATGATAAATGAAAAAAAAATGGCAGCAGCAAAACCAAATGAAATGTAAATGTATTCAGAGAAGAAAAAAAACCCCTCGATTGATTTTTTTTTGCTGTTGTTGTCGTCGTCGTTGTCATTATTGGTCACTTCCTTTTTCCCCACCTCATTCACTCACTCACTCACTCTCTATTGAACTAACCAGAAAAAAAAATTCAATTTTCAAAAAGTCAAAAAAAAATGAAAAAAATAAAATAAAATCTCAGCGATTAAGTAATGGAGAAATAAAAAAAAAAAATTTGAATGGATTCAAACATCATCAAAAGTTGCTTTTTCTTATATTTTTTCACATTCTTTTTCCTTGAAAATTCTTTTTCAAAACATCAACATCATGTGATGATGATGATGATGATGACAAATACACACAGCACACACAAGAATCATATAATCATAGCCATTTGATAATAATAATAATGATGATTGGACGTGGCTGCCTTTTTTGCATAAAAAAATGGTTAAACTTTAAAGGGATATAATAATAAACATCATTAAAAATGTCCAAAATGTGAATATTTTCATTCAAATGTGTGAATGAACGCCAAAAAACCGAGGTAACCGGCCCATCATCATCATCATCATCATGTTAATGGATGGACAACGAGTTTTTTTTTCATTTTTTTTATATATTAGCCAAAATTCGAGTTGTTCAAGAATCGAGTTTTCTTCTTTTGTTACCAAACATAGAAAATAACAACAACAACAACAAAAAATCTTGAATGACATGCATGTGAATGTTGGCAATACAACAAAAAAAACCTGAAACTAACTGTGCGACATATTTATGCGTATGCGTAATGGTCATCGGACTTTTAAAGTTTTCCTGGTTTCTTCTTTTTTGTCAATCAATTTTTCTTAACCAACTTGGCTATCATAATAATGATGATGATGATGTTTTGGACACACAAAAATAATCAATTATCCAAATGGATTTTTTCTGTTTCTTCTTCATCATTCACATGTCATCTCAATAAACATTTGACGTCGGAAATTGATTAATTGAAATTCACAAAATAGACCAAATGAATTGATACCATTTGGTTTATCATCATCATGCCGATAGAAAAAAAAATCAATTTATCAATCGATCAATAGCTGACTAAATATTTTGGGAAGTAAAAGAAAAAAATTCACCAAATTGTCATGTTTTTTTACAACGAAAAAAAAAAAAATTTTTTTTCCTTCCTTCTTCCCTTCATTGTGGTTGTTGTTGTTCAATGATTCAAGTTGAAGTTTGATTTTTTTAGTTTCAGTTTTTGAAAAGTAACAACCAAAATGATCAACAATTTTTCATTGGTTGTTGGGTTATTACTTCGATCAGAAAGAAAAAAAAATCACATCACATCTCAAAATTATTATGCTTGTGTCACTCAGTCTGTCTGCCTGTCTATCAATGTGAAAAAGATCATTGTCATAATCCTCTGTTTATTAATATGATGATCATGGACTATCAGTGGATTAGAAAAAAAAAATCATGCTGATGGGGAAATGAATTTTTTTCATTTTTCTTACCACAAAAACTACTACTACTACTACTACCAAAAGGTCAAAGTTGACCAAAGAAAACTAAAACTAAAATTGAAACAATGGTCATTTACAATTTGTAGGGGAAAAAAATGGATAATTAACGGGTGAAAAAGAAACAAAAATCCAATGGATTTATATGATCTGTTGTGTTGACTCGATCATCATTATTGAACTAACTAAATTCCGAATTCAAAATGATGTTTAGATGATTAGAACAACAACAACAACGATACATGGCAATGCCAATGTTCTATAATAAGCAAAGCAAAGAAAAAAAAATACACTGAAGATCAATGATCGATTCTTCTCCTTTTCTCTCTCTTTGTTCACGTTCAATACAACAAAATCAGCAGCTCTGTACAAAAACTTACACACACACACACACACACACAAACACAAAAGTCGATTATCTGTCAATCTGAATACATAATTAACGGGTTGCACACACATCTACATCAAAAAAAACACCAAAAATGCAAACATTTTGAATATAAATTAAAATATATATGAATGAAGAAAAAAAAACATCGTCATTCTCTCTGTACAGAATGAAAAACGACAATAACAATTGATTGACGATGTAGATTTTTGCAAACATTGATCTCATAACTTTTGACAACACACAAACACAAACAAACACACACACACACACACGAACATTTTCAATCGACAATAAAAGAAAAAAAATTTTTTTTATATTGATCTTCAAACAAGAACAGCAACAAAAACAACCAATTTCATCATTAGCATCCAGAAAAACTGTATTTGGCGTCATATATATGAAATATGCTTATTATAAATGAATGGATGAATGGATCGATGCACACACACACACACAGACATTAATATCACAAAATTTGATCAACAACAACAACGACGAAAAAAAAATCATGTTTAATATATTCAATCAATTGATTTTTTTTTTCAGATCGATTGATTGGTTTTTTTTTTTCATTCATTTTTTTTTCAATCCTTTATCACTAACAGTATTATTCGGTTCATTCAGCAAAGAAAGGGGGCACCACAAAACAGCTGAACATGGTGGTGGTGGTTGACATGCTGCCGGCCCTTATCATTATTATCGTCATCATCATCATCATCATCATCATCAATCGATCGATTGATTGATTGAAGATCAAACAACAGAAAATGGGAATTGATATTGAAAAAAAAACAGTTCAATTGATCAACAATTGCCATTGTTATATCATTTTAGTTCAGTCATATATATATCAGGTAAAAGAATGTCAAAAAAAATTGATGCACCAAAATAGAAAATGATTTTCCACAATCACCACTACCACCAAATTTAAAATGTGCACACACACACACACACACAGGTGTAATGCATTATCGAAATCAAATTTCATGTCACGAGCATGTCGATCGAAACATGAAATAACAGAAAAGAAACGAAACGAAAAAAAAAAAAAAAAATTGGTTCATCGATTGAATTGAATTGAAAAATTTTTTTTCTTCTAAACATTCTATTTTTTAATGGACCGAATCGAATGAGATTTTTCTTTTTAGTGCAATTCTTTTCGATTACCTGTGTATATATAAAATACAAGCCATCAATTTTGTTCACCTGATGATGATGATGATGATGAGTGCGTAAAAGAGGAGAAAAAAAATTAGGAAATTTTTTTTCTGGTAATCAATCAATCAATATCTGATTGATATTGATGATGATTGAAAAGGGGCAAAATAATAAATGAAAAAAAAACAATATATCGTTCACAGGTATATATAACAATATTGAATATTTGAAAAAAAAATTTTTTTTTCTTGTTCCAATGCCCCATATTGTTCGATCAGTTTTTTTTTCTTCACATATTGATTTGTGTATTAAACCCAAACTAAAAATAATTTTTTAGGTTATGAATTTTTCATTTTTTGTGGGTGATTGATGTGTTCAAAAAATCAATTATCAGTTATAAAATGAATTATTGGCCATCAAACATCAATACACGCACACACACACACACACACACACATACACCGAGAAATGAAACATAAAAGACAGGACATTTTTCATCAAATTGAAAAAATGGAGGAAAAAAATTTTGCAATCAAATTTTTTTTTGCTTCAGATTAATGATTCCTGGAACAAAAAAAAAGAAATGAATGAAAATTGTCATTGATGATAGGTGTGTGTGTGTGTGTGTGATTGATCCTATTGTCTTGTAATTCGTTACAATTTTTGTTTGTTGTTGTTGTTGTCATTAAATAGCTTGTTTTTCGTTGATAATCCATTTTGATTTATTGCCTCACACACACACACACACACGTATATAAATGAAACAAAGCAATTTTGTTATTTATGATGATAATGTCACCGAATTTGATGATTGTAACAACAACCATCATCACCATCATGATGGTGGTGGTTTTGATGGCCATATATATTTATAATCGGTCATTACATTACAAATATTATAAAAAAATAGGATTAGTTTCGTTTGGATCGTTTGTGGGAAACAGAAAAAAAATGAAATGGATCAATGCAATGACCAAAAAAAAAAAAAAAAAAAAATCATCAAAAAATACGAATGTGTAAATAGCATTGAAACATTTGTGGAAACGAAAAAAAAAAAAAAAAAACAATGGATAATTTTCATTGTAAAATCGGATCCAAGTGGATGATGATGGTGGTTGGGGAAGATTTACATTCGCACCATTATATTGTAATTTTGGCAAAGATAAAAAAAAATTTGCTGCCCCATCATCATCATCATCATCAAAATCGAAACTTGTCATCACACACCATTTGGACATCATTATGTGATGGAAATTTTTTTCCCTCTTTTTTTTGGAATAAAAACTTTTTGTTTTCAATCCTAAAAATTCATAATCGATGCAAATCCCACTCATGAAACAAATACAATTATTATACACAGGATGAACAAAAATAATTGGATCGAAATTATCACGCAAAAAAAAAGAAAAAAGGATTGTTTTTTTTCCAATTTACAAACGAATGATTAAAACACACGAATAAAATGTCATCATTGATTGGGGGGCGGAGGGAAAAACAGAAAAAGATTTCTTAGATGTAATAAATTTTAAGCCAGTTTTATTTCTGGTTCACACACAGGAGCCACCACCAAATTGTTGTATCGTGTGCGTGTGTGTTTCAACTCCATCATGATGACCATCATTCAGATTCAATGATGATGATGAGAAAAAAACCGGAATCAATGCATGTGACTACTACTAATCTAGTTTTATTTTCTGATTTAAATTGAATTGAATTAAAACGGTATATATTTTGAATGAATAATAAAAAAAAAAATTTAATGATGAATACAGGTTATGAGAAAAAAAAACAGACTACTAAATGAACACGCACACACGAAACCGACGAGAACAAACCTAATGATGATGAACTCTTCTCATTTTTTTTCCCAAACGATAGCGTGACCTAGAGAGAGAGAGAGAGAGAGCGAACCTATGACCAACAGTACACATAAACATCATCATCACCAACATCAAGATGATGGTCAAGTGGTATTTTGGTTATGATTTTTTTTCCATCTTATTCTTCTTATCTAGTCTAGCTTTTAAGCTGTCTGTGTGTGTGTTTCTTTTTTGTTGAGTCTGGATAATCGTGTTTTCATTATATAAACCACGTCATTATTCCGGTAATAAGCATTTCATCATCATCATCATAATGAATCAAAAATTTTTCAAATCACAAATTAAACGTTTGTGTGTTCATCATCAACCAAGAATAGAAACAAAGCAATGAAAATGAAACGAAATGTCAACGGAAATCTGGATGACCATTTTTTTTTTTCATACACAAGTGTAATTCACAGGGTATTATTATGGAAAAAAAATTAAGATCATCATCATTGTGATGAAATGCTTCCTGGAAAGATTTATAACAATAGAATTTTTGAAGCAAAATGAAAAAAAACAGTACACACACACAAATGCGGCTTATTTTATTTTTTTTTTTTTTGTTGTATTCAAACAGCAACAAGTAAGAATTGTCAACATACAATGGATATATACAAATACTCAACAGAAATTTTTCATCTTTTTCTCTGTGATGGAATGGATGATTCTAGGATTGATTCATTTTTTTTCTCACAGAAATATTGTTGTTGTTGATGATGATGATGATGAATGGATTGTGTGTGTGTGTGTGGCTGAATAATTTTGTTTCTCTCTCTCTTTTTCTCTTTGTGCACATTCATCACCATGCACAAACACAATTCATTTCAGAAATTATCAATGGTCCATCAAAATCATGTTGATGGTGATGGTGGTGGTGGTGGTGGTTGGTCATCATCATCGTCATCATAATAAACTACAATTTTTTTTTTGACCAATTTTCCACTTTTTTTTGTTGTTGATGATGTTCATTTTTTTCAAAAAAATTTTTTCAAAAACTTGCCCATTATCATCATCATCATCATCATCAATTTTCATTCTGTTGTGGTCAAGTGAACTGAATTTTCGTCTTTTTTTTGTTGATAAAAATTTCATATTCAATCAAAGATTCTCTCCATCTCTATCTTTTTTCGTGATTTAATTTTGTTTTTTTCACATTTGAAATTTCAAAATTTGGACCTAGTTTTTTTTCTAAACAACGAAAAAACACACAGCATCAACAAATTAATCAAACTCGATCCATCCATCCATCCATCTCTCTCTCTCTACGTTATGCACTGCTATCTATGGATGCGTACACAACACACATTCATTGATTGATCAATCTAATAATTTGATATCATGGTTGACTTGGTCATTTTTATTTTTGCTTTCATTTTGAATGATGATTAGATCATCATTGCCCATTTTCACTAGATTAAATGGATTTAGCTATGATGATGATCATCATCATCATCAAATTTCTAATGTTTTTGACAACAACGGACAAAAAACGATGGCAAAAAGGAGGGAATTTCTTCATTTTTCACTTCAAAAAAAAAAATTTCAGAATCATCAACATCATCGGATCGGATGGGAAGATAATCATCCAGAAAAATTCATTGATTATTCGAATTGGAAATAAAAAAAAACTTTGTAACTCATTATTCAAAGAAAAGAAATAAAAAAAAAGGCAAAAGCAAAATAAAAATCCTACTTACAAATCTAAATTTTTGACTAGTTCGTTTTGTTGTTGTTGTTGTTGTTGCTGCTGCTGCTGTTTCTGTTGTTGTCGTTGTTCATCAATATCGGTACGGCGATAATTATCCACCGACAATAATGATTGATGATTATTTTCATTGATTTTCGTCGTCGTCGTCGTCGTTGTTGTTGTTTTTGAATATGATTTTCGTTTCGATATCGATGTGGATGTATTATTAGATGATGATGATGATGATGAAAATGGATATCGTTTTGTAAACGAATCAAACATTTTTTATGCTGTTACTGATTTTTTGATCAATCGTTCGAAACAGACGTAAAAAACAGACACAATTGTTTGTCATGTAAATTAATTGAATAAAATGTCGATTTCGATTTCATCATATCATCGTTGTATTGAAAACGAGAAACCTGTATAAATAAATAAATGAAATGGTAAAAAAAAATGAAATTTTTCATGAAAAATACAACCATTTGCACACAGACACACACAAAGACAAATAAATCAAAAAAAAAAAAGAAAATTTAAATATAATGACGATGACACAATGACAACAACGAAACAAAAAAAAAACAAAGAAAAAACAAAGAAAACAAAATTATCATGATGAAATTCGAAAAAAAAAATTCACGAATGAAGTTGTAGAGCAGGGAGGGAGGATGAGAAAATGTTTTTTTTTTTGTTTACGAAACTTGCCGCTAATTGTTCGAAATTCGAATACATTCATGTTCACAGATGATGTTGACATTTTTTTTTTGTTTGCAAAAAAAAAAAGGAGAATGTCACCCGATTATTCGGTTTTATTTTTCTCTTTTCTCAGTGTTTTTTTTTCTTTTTTCTTTTGGAAAAATAAATTTGACCACCACCACCACCACCACCATCATCATGATAAAAATGATGACAATGTAGTAGAGTCGTTTGTTGTTGTTGCTGTATGATTAATCTCTGGTGGTTTTTCTTTTTCTTTTCGAAAAAAAAATCTGTTAATTACAAGTTGTGTTTTAATGTGCTTCACAGCAGCACATAGTCGCCGAATGAAAAAAAAACCAGGTAAGATCCAAAAATATCTCACTCATAACCAACTTAATTTTCTTTTTTTTCAGTAAACCGAAAAAAAAATTATTAAATTGAAAATGATCAACAAAATCAGAAACAAATGGACATTGTCGTGGTCTCAATCATGATCTCAATTACATCATCATCATCATCACCAGCATTCATGAATGCTGGCGATGATCAATTTCGTTGTAGCACGCGAAAGACACTGGATTTTTTTTTTGGTGTTAAAATTTTTTTTAAAATTATGATGGCAAAGTGTGTGTGCGCTGATGATAATAATCATTAATCGGAACAGCAGATATTCAGATCCATTCAATCGCCAAACACAAACACAGCATGACTAGATTGAATCTAGATTTTCAATCAAATATAAAGAGAAACCGTTATATATCACCATATCATCAATTGATGTAGTTATGTGGTGGCCACCACATTTATTTATCAGCCACATATCACAACAAGCAGATAATTTATTCCTCAATCATTCTCTAGCTTTCTCTCTATTTGGGCCTTTCATTTTTTTTTCATGAAAAAAATTTTCAAAAAAACAAAATTAAAACGAAAAATTTTGTGGCTGAACTCGATTCGTAACAACAACAAAAAAAAAAAAAACACGATGAAATTAGAGTGTCTAATTCATTTTTAAATTTTTTTTCCAGTTTTTTTTGAGTCAAAAATTAAAACTCAATTTGTGGTTACCAACAAACAACAAACAAACAAACAAAAATCTCATTCTCTCAAGAATAAACAGTGCACAATTTTTTTTTCTATTTTGGGGACAATGAACGATGATGATGTTGATCATCATCATCATCAACAACATACCTCCAATGATGAACAAACAAAAAAAACCACCAATTTCCTGATGATGACAATTTCATATTTTGTTTTGTTTTTATTTTTTGTTAGAAAAAAAACCATGTCATCATCGATATATAACACTATGATTGATGATTGATTGAACCACAATATAAACAATCAATTCGTTATTAATGATTCACTTTTACATTATGACACACATGAAAAAAAAGATGTCGGGTCATTTTTTTTATGATGATGATGATGATGATAACAATCACAAAGAGAGATTTTGATCAAAAGAATAAATGAAGATCTTGATCTTGATGATGATGATGGTGATAAAAAACATTTTAAAATTTATATATGTCACACACACACTGAAACACTGTGATTCAAGATCTTGATCCAGATTGATTTTGATTCTCAAAACACAAATCATCAAAATGTTTAAAATTGAAAAATTAAAAAAAAAATTTCAAAAATCATCATCATCATCATCATCACTGATGTTTTTTCAATCACTAAAGTTTCAAAGCAAAGTAACGTGAAAATGAAACCACGGATATTTCTTTTTTGGGCTGCATTGATCTAATTGAAAAGTGAACACCACCACCACCACCACCACCACGAATACAACCAACTTTATTGAGACAAAATAGAGTTGGAAAAAAATAAGGAGAGCAACAGAAAGCAAAGAGAGCAGCAGCAGCATTACTTATAAAATGATGAAAATTAAAAAAAATGGACAGAAACAAATGAAATTAAATAAATAAAAAAAAAAAAAAAACAAGAACGAAAATTTAGCATTACGTTGGTGATTAAGATTTTATATGTGGATGATGATGGCTGTGATGAACGAGAAATGATTGGTTTTTTTTCTTCTTCTTCATCATCATCATCATTTCATGTTCATTTCGGATCAAGTCAAAAATTGAAATGAATTATCCAATCCACACCTGTTATATATGTATGGTATGGATACAGATGGATTTTTTTTTCTATACTTTAATTTTCTCTTTTTTTTCGGCTGATTAAATATTTGATTTTTGTTTTTTTTGTTTTGTTTTCAGAAATCAAGAAAAAAAATCAGAAATCAGAAAAAATTTTAAAATCATTAATAAATCTATGAAAATGGACAAGAAAAATGACTGAATGGACAAATTTTTACGTTGGTCAAATAAAAACAATCCAGATGTTTTGAATTAATAATGATGGATCATCAAATGGTCAGATTTGGAGAAGAAAGAAAAAAAAACGCACAAAAAATTTTAATTTTTTTTTCGTCATCAAATATATATTAATTCTGAGAAAGATTATCAATTTTCAAACAAAAACAAAAAACAAATCCATTGAAAGTGACCATTTACACACACACACACACAAGTTAGGTCACAAACACACAGTAAACGAAAGGAGAGACATTTTTTTTCACAACCATAATTCAATTGCATAACATTTGTTTGTTTGTTTGTTTGTTTGTTTATCGGTGGGGAAAAAAATTACAGAAACAGAAACTTTGATAAATTGAAAAAAAAATTCTTAATTTTGCTTGTTTCGCTTTCGTATGTGACATAATACATGAGATAATCTCTCTCTCATATCATATATACAGTTCACAGTTCGGGTTATTGTGTTATTTATTATGAAACAAATAATGATGATGATAATATAACAATTATTCTTGGCAAACAAATAAAATAAAAAAAAATACAATGATAATTATCATCATCATTGGTCGTTGTTGTTCAAAATAGGATGGCCATTTTTGTAGAAAATAATAGTCATCTTACATTTATATATATACAAGACAAAGATGTGGATGATAATGATGATTACCTTTGTGGTGTGTGTGTGCGAATGAAGATGATGATGACCATTTCATGGGGAAAAAAAATCATGTCAATTCGTTTTTTTTTCTTGATTCACTTCGATGATCACATTATCATCATAATGATGAACAACAACAACAAAAAAAAAATTTCGCCTATTTGATTTGTTTTCATTTTTTCATCATCTATCTTTGTATAAAATTTTTTCTAATACAATCGAAAAAGATTAATTCATCTTTGTAAAAATTTTTCAATAAAAACAATAGATTAATTCAAATAAAACCATGTAAAATGTAAGGCCTAAAATGTGAATGTAAATGAGTGACATAATTCTATGGTTTAGATATTCTTGATCATCTTCCATATGGGCATCGGTTAATTCTTTATCTATGGCTGCAAGTTGTCTGGTGCCATTATCATCTTCATATTCGATAGTTTTATTGATTTTTTTCTGAATTAATTTAAGATTTAATTGATAATTATAACGATCACCATTCAATTTATTGATTATTCCATTTTGATGAATTTGTTGAAACATTTTAGCCAACATAATTCTTGCTGAAGAATGTAAATTTTTACGTATAGCTAGACTAGAGAATGTTAGACCGAACTTTTCTTTCGATACATGTAGATCGAATTTTCTATACATTTCTTTCAACATATAGCCTTTCCAACGATCAACGATCAATACATGTTTGCCTTTCATTAATTTAACAATCGGTCCAGGTGCAGTAATTTCATGATCAATCTCAAATGATCGGTATTTAAGTTGAGGAAATTTCTTTAAAAACAAAAAATTCAAAAATTAAAACACCATATACGCTTACACTCGCGTTTACACATACCGAAAGAAAAATTTTTTCTGTTGATGATTTACTTACAACCATGATACGATAATCTTTATTCTCAACTAATTGAACAAAATGATCGATAATCTGTTCTCTTTTAGCTAACAGTGATGCCACTACATCATTTGAGAATAATTGTCGCAATAATAATGTAGCCAAAATCCATATCAACAAGGAGTTACGTAATAAATGTATAGCTTTTCGTTGTTTAGAAATCAATGTAAATTTTGACAAACTTTGTCCAATGAGCGTACGAAATAAAATGAAATTGAAATCAAATAAACGATTTGTCGATAAATTTTGATCATTAATGATTAAATCAGCAACCATTAACAGTATGGTATAACAAATGAATCCTGTAAACAATAATAGCCATATTTCCCATGTGAATGTATGAAAAATTTGTAATGGATTCGTATTCGGAATATAACTTTGATGACTAACAATCGATACTTTATATGCTGAATTTGATAAAATTGTATTGTCAAGAACTTGATCACGATTACTATGTATAGAAAAAAAATGTGGTATAAAATCGGCAACTTTTTCCGAAATCAATTTTAAGATTCCTGTAAATGTTCCATTAACGTAATATCCACCGAAATCTTCTTCAGGCAATATGAATGTCAAACTTTGGGGAAAAAACAATCAAATAAAAAACTATTGATTTATCACGCAATGTTACATTCTATACTGACCTACAATTGTAATGATCAATAAGAATTTTACATATTTCAATATATGGTGAACAAACAAAAGAACGATTTTCATAATTGTAAAACTAAAATTTGATCGAAAACAAACAGAATTGAATTTATTAATAGATAGAGAAGATGAAACATACTTCTGTTGAAAATATTGCTGAATGTAAATGACATCGATAAGATGATTCCGTCGAATTGATTGTTTGAATTTCGCCATCTACTACTGATGGATAGAATTTTTTATAATCGGAAAATTTTATTGTTTGATTTTGACTTGTTTCCAAACAATATTGTTCAAACATTTTTCTTTTTTCAACAATTGTCCAAAAGTCTTATGACACATATAGACAACAATAATTTTGATTTGGATTCTTTCATTTTATTTTATTTATTTATAACTTGTCAATTCAATAACATTAGACTCCCACAAATGAAGACAAATAAACGTTATCTATTTTTTTTTTTTTTTTTTGCACGCGATCGAAGATTCATTAAAGTTGATCGATAAAAAAGGCGTTTTTATTATTACTGTTACCTTTGTGAACCAAAAAACCTTAATGGACAATTTTTTTAACAATATAATATGCAAAACAACATGATTGTTATTTTTTCTTCATCATCATCATAAGATTTCCTCTCAACAGCCAATCTGTGAATTTAAGGCACAAAAACTTTCAATAATAAATGCTGAAGTTGCATTGGTACCGCCACTAAATCAAAAACTTTCCGTAACAATGTATAACGATAATCTGTTAATAGATAAAAAAAAAGGTAATTATAATGTGGCAAATGAATCAATACAATAAAAATTTGACTTTGTTTTCATTTTTACGCGCTCAAAAAAAAAAAAAAAAAAACATTCGAATCTTTGAATGATTCAAACGCCATCTATGATTACTTATTTTTACATGAATCATATGTTATGAATGATGATGATGATTGTTTTGATTATTTGTTTGTGATTCAAAACTATGCGTCGTCATTATAATGAGTAGCAATAATAATTTTATTTTTAACCAACATAAACAATAAAAGTATTCGATATTTGTTTATCATTTTATGAACAAAAAGTTCCTTATATAGAAAAACAACAACATGAATATTATGGATGAATATGAAAATGTAATGACAACATTGAAAATATTAATTATTGGTGAAAGTTTTGTTGGTAAATCCAGGTAAGTGTTTGAAATTCGAAACCAGTTACATTGTAATGATTTACTTTTTTCCTTATGATATATAGCCTTTTAATTGCCTATACTGATGATACATTTTCCGATGATGTTGGAGCAACGATTGGTGTGGATTTTAAAACGAAAAAAATCAAAATCGATGGAAATCTAATCAATCTAGCCATATGGGATACGGCTGGTTCAGAAAGATTTCGTGCATTGACACCAAATTTTTATCGTGGTGCACATGGTGTAATATTTGTTTACGATGTAACGGCAAGAAAAACGTTTGAAAAACTAAATAGCTGGCTAGATGAAGTGAATGCATATGCGGATAAACCGAATATTGTTAAAATGTTGGTCGGTAATAAGATTGATAAAGATAATCGTGAAGTATCCCGCCATGATGGTATGCTTTGGGCACGTAGTCATAATACATTGTTTATTGAAGCAAGTGCCAAAACACGTGAAGAAGTTGGTTGTGCATTTGAAGAATTGGTGGAAAAAATCCTACAAACACCTGGTTTATGGGATTCGAATAAAACGACTAAAACGATAAATCTTGAATCAAAAACAAACAAATCGGCTGTATCTACATGTTGTGGTGGTTATTTTAGTTGATCATTTTTTCTGTTAAAAATTCATTTATTATCATTAAAAAAAAGAAAATTCTTGTTACATCATCTATCTTTGTATAAAATTTTTTCTAATACAAACGAATAAATTAATTCAGCAATAAAAACAATCAACGAAAATGTAAGGCCTAAAATGTGAATATAAATGAGTGACATAATTCTATGGTTTAGATATTCTTGATCATCTTCCATATGGTCATCAGCTAATTCTTTATTTATGGCTGCAAGTTGTCTGGCGCCATCATCTTCATGTTCGATAGTTTTATTGATTTTTTTCTGAATTAATTTTCGATTTAATTGATATTTATGAAAATCCCTACTCAATTTATTGATTATTCCATTTTGAAAAATTTGTCGAAACATTTTCGTCAACATAATTCTTGATGAATAATGTAAATTTTTACGTATAGCTATACTACCAAATGTTAGACCGAAATTTTCTTTCGATACATGTAGATCGAATTTTTTATACATTATTTTCAACATATAAGCTCTCCAACGATCAACAATCAATACATGTTTGCCTTTCATCAATTTTACAATCGTTCCAGGATCAGTAATATCATTATGATCAAGCTCAATTGATCGGTATTTAAGTTGAGGAAATTTCTTCAAAAAAAAAGACAAAAAAAAAATTCAAAAATTAAAACATCATATATATACGTTTACACATACCGAAAGAAAAAATTTTTCTGTTGATGATTTACTTTCAACCATGATACGGTAATCTTTATTTCGTCGAACATTCTCAACTAATTGAACAAAATGATCGATAATCTGTTCTTTTTAGATAACAGTGATGCTACTACATCATTTGAGAATAATTGTCGTAATAATAATGTAGCCAGAATCCATATCAACAAGGAGTTACGTAATAAATGTATAGATTTTCGTTGTTCAGAAATGAATGTAAATTTTGACAAACTTTGTCCAATGAGCGTGCGAAATAAAATGAAATTGAAATCAAATAAACTATTTGTCGATAAATGTTGATCAATAATGATTAAATCAGCAACCAATAACAGTATGGTATAACAAATAAATCCTATAAACAATAATAGCCATATTTCCCATGTGAATGTTTGAAAAACTTGTAATGGATTCGTATTCGGAATATAACTCTGATGACTAACAATCGATACTTCGTATGCTGAATGTGATAAAATTGTATTGTCAAGAATTTGATCACGATTACTATGTAGAGCAAAAAAATGTGGTATAAAATCGGCTACTTTTTCCGAAATCAGTTTTAAGATTCCTGTAAATGTTCCATTAACGTAATGTCCACCGAAATTTTCTTCAGGCAATATGAATGTCAGACTTTTGGGAAAAAAACAAACAAATAAAAAACTATTGATTTATCACATAATTACATTCTATACTGACCTACAATTGTAATGACCAATAAGAATTTTACATATTTCAATAAATGGTGAACAAACAAAAGAACGATTTTCATAATTGTAAAACTAAAAATTTTATCAAAAAAAACAGAATTGAATTCATTAATATTCTGAAAGTATATCACTGGAAAGAGAGAGATAGAGAGAAAATGAAACATACTTCTGTTGAAAATATTGCTGAATGTAAATGACATCGATAAGATGATTCCGTCGAATTGATTGTTTGAATTTCGCCATCTACTACTGATGGATAGAATTTTTTATAATCGGAAAATCTTATTGTTTGATTTTGACTTGTTTCCAAACAATATTGTTCAAACATTTTTCTTTTCAACAATTGTCCAAAAATCTTATGACACATATAGACAACAACAATCATTTTGATTTGGATTCTTTCATTTTTTTTATTTATTTATAACTTGTCAATTCAATAACATTAGACTCCCACAAATGAAGACAAAGAAATTTTATCTTTTCTTTTCACCAGATCGAAGATTCATTAAAGTTGATCGATGAAAAAAGGCGTTTTTTATTATTACTGTTATCTTTGTGAACCAAAAAAACCTTAATGTACAATTTTTTTAACAACATAATAAGCAAAACAACATTCATTGTTCTTTTTTCTTCTTCTTCATCATAAGATTTCATTTCAACAGCCAATCTGTGAATTTAAGGCACGAAAACTTTCAATAAGTGCTAAAGTTGCATTGGAATCACCACTAATTGCTAAATCGAAAACTTTCCGTAACAATGTATAACGATAATCTGTTAATAGATAAAAAAAAACGGTAATTATAATGTGGCAAATGAATCAATACAATAAAAAATTTGATTTACCTTGAGCCAATAAAACAAATTCTGGTATTATTACCATTGCATTTTTAACAACGGTAGCCGATTCATTGTGTAAACATTTAACAAATGATGATATGATTGTTCGCACTGTAGATGGATTTGTTTGTAATGTTTTCAATGTAATTGTGAATGATAATTCACAAAAATATGGATTCGAATAATATGATTGTATGGAATTCTAGAAAAGAAAAATAAATACTCCATTTACATACTAACATGGAATAAACTTACCAGAAAATTTTCACCCAATAATGGATATCTATCAACAAATCGATTTACATCACTCAATGTTGTTGCTATAATTTCATTTGATAATCGATTAGATTGTTTTAATTTCATTTCTAATGAACGATAATCTTGGCTAGCAATGATTAATTCTGTTTCATTTGGTAACGGTACACCGGACATGATTGATTCGAAAAAATTTTTTTCATTTGGATATGCTGTGCATAATTCGTTAAGATCATTTTTATGCAATTGAATCCAATGACTACATGATTCGGAATCATTTTTATTCCAATCATCTAGTAGATGCAAAAATTGTAATATTAATGGCTGTAGTTCATGATTTGAATCTTGTTGTCGTGGTAGCTGATAATATGATAGAAACATATCCATATAAAGATTTAATAATTGTTCTACACCATTAACATTATGATTCCATAACCATGGACGTAAAAGATTTAGAATGTTCAATAATTTGGTGAATATTTTCAATATATTCAAACTTTTGAATATATCATAATGAACAACATTAACTTTACCACGAAGCATTGCTGGTATCATTGGTAATTGACGCAAAAATAATAATGGATGTTCCGAGGCAATTTTTAACAATGCATCACCCCAATAAATAAATTGTTGTGGTGATGATATCGATAATGTTGATCCATTGGTTTCGACATACATGAATGATGTGATTAGATTATGAGTGATTTTATCCATAAAACTTGGCAATTTTTGCAACATGCAAACATGATCATCAGATAATTTCAACTCTAATCCTATGCTAGGTATCTGTAGATAAATTCTAGTGAACAATTCATTTCGTATAGATTCTTTTGATTCTTGTTGAAAATTTTTGAGAAAATGAATGACCATTTCAGTTTTGTATGTGGTAATACAACAAGTACGCATAATTAAATCGATACGATTCGATATGGCATTCTCTTGTAGAACATAATCAATAAGACAGTGAATTTGTTTGCCATTCAAATCGAGTACATCTTCATGTTTCTGCACTTTTTGTGAATCATTTTCACGACCAATCCATAATTTTGGTAATTCAATACAAATACCAAGGAAATCCAATACAGCTGTTGGATTTAAACATAAATCTGGATTCAATATGAATCGTATACAATCATTAAGGGTGGAAAAATTTGATTTATGTAACAATTGTGAAAGAAAATATGGACGATTACGTGAGAAAATGGTCGTTTGTAAATGGGGACCAAAATTTTCAGAATCAATATCTTTTCGATAAAATTTATCATAAGCTAAATCCATATAGATGTCAATCCATTTTTCCGATGTTTGTGCTTTTATTTGATCTTTTTTATTTAGAAATTCTTCCAATGCTTTGGTCCATGTTTTTGACGATGACGATGATGATGAAACTTTTTTCTTTTGTAATTTTGATTTTTTCGTTTTTGTACCATCTTTATGTAGGAAACGATCAAAACATTTCCACAACATTGTTGATTCAATATTTTCCACATCAAGTGATGATAATTCTTTTTTAATATTCGTCAATTCAGAATTCAATCCAAAATGTTTACTATCTTTAACCGCAGAAATGATAATCACATTGAAAATGGAATTAAATGTACCGCTGATTATATTGTCGGTTATATCTTCGATTGAATTGAAAAATTCGGACAAAAATTGTTTAGTCAATTTTTTCGTTTTCACGGACGAATCATTAAGTTCGGCAGCAATTTGTCGTGTAAGAAATGTTAGCCGTTTGAAATCTTTATCCACAAACATTTTAATCACATCATCTTTACGAAATGTTTCTGAACGAAATGACGATTCTTGTGATGATTTTTGATCATCACGTTTTTTGGGCAATTCATTCATTTCAACATCTTCAGTATCATCATTGCCAGCTTTATAATTCAAATGAATTTTGGCAAATTTAAATCCAGCAGTAATATTTTTACTCCAAAAAACATGAAATGAAGCCAACAGTTTGGGTCGATCAAAATTTAAATTTTTGATTATTTTTGATTCAGCTGCAGTCAGTTTATCAAATGCTTGCAATGCTGTTTGTAAAACAATGGTCGATATACCATATGAATTCATATAAGGAATGATGTTTTCAATTTTTACATTTTCAAACAAAAGTGCAACAATTTTCGTCGATTCAGTTGATAAAAGACGTGATATAAGCCAATCTGGTATAAGCGATTCCGGTTGTTTCATTTCGACATCGGTGAATATTTGTGGATATGGTTCATCCAAAAAATGTTGTGCAAGATTATCATAATAATCGGAAAATTCAAAATCATCATCAACAAATGATAATGATAAAATTATTGAATGTATCAATCCAGAATCGATCATAATTCGTTGACCAATATTGGGGAATTTTAGATAAACATATTTCTTTCCTTCCATAGGACGAACGATTTTATTCGTGGCCATTAATGATTCCAAATAAAGCCAATAGATTTTAAATAGAGAATGAAGAAATCTTTGTTTGAATTTATGATCAGAATATTTAACGATATGCATGGCAATTTTTTTTCGTTGTATCAATAATGATGAACATTTTTGAACAAGCATTTCATCTGGATTCTTAACATATTCAGCAATAAATTCCAAATAATCACAGATAAGCGATGTATTCGATTCTTCCGATAATGCAGCATTCAATGCAGTACACATGGCTTGAATTTGTAGATCAGATTTTAGAAATTTTATCAAATTCGTACGAAACCAATCAACGGATTCATTGGCAAACAATGAAGGTATTAAATTATCATCCAACATTTGTAGATATTTTCCCACATTAATCGATGCAATTACATATAATGCTTTATAGGCCAACATTCGTGTCGTAGAACGTGGATGGCTTAAATGATGAATTAGATATTCGAATGCATTACTTAATTTTCCTGAATTTGCTGCTTGAACAATATCATCCTGAAAATAGGCAATCAAACGAATCAATTTTCGTCGTTTTTCTTTTTTTTGGCTTTTTCCAATTTACTTATATCGGCAGTAGTGTTTGCCGATTGTAAATGTGCTTCTTCGGCAACCTGTTTCAATATAAATTCGCATAAACATTGAACAGGTAGTAGACCATAATTACTTTCATATGATTCTACTAGATCAATTAACCAATTTAATGATGAATGATAAAATTGTGATGAATTTGATGAAATATGATTCTGTTGTTTATCGATGATTATCAATAGAAAATCTGGTTCACGACTTTGACATAGCAAATGACATAGACGATAATTTGTATTGTTTGTACATAATAATTTATAATCATTCAATATTGGATTTGGTGGCCGTCGTGGTATTGAACATGGATCCAATGTTATTAACGATGAAATCAGATAACTATTTGATTCATTTATCTCTTGATCACGTGCCAAATATGATTCGAATTCAAGAATTTTCATCTTTTCAAATTGATTATATTGTAGGATCTTGTTTTGCATTTCATCATTGTCCATACTTTTGGGTGGAAATTGAAAACAATTTGTAATGGCCATTTCGATTAAAGTTTGAAATGTTGGAAATGCATTCCATGCTGATTTGCCAAATGTCGATGGTAGATGAGCAGCAATAATAACAAGCATGAACCAAACTTTCCAATAAAGATCGACACGAGCCAATTTAGGTGGCTGATAATTTTCCGGCAATGGAGCATTATCCGGACATACGTATTCACAACAACTGAATAACAGGTCGATAATTTTCGGATCGGTAAACAATAATACCGGATGATTCATATCGCCATCAAAATTCATGGTTGCATGATGTATTAATGTCCATATTAGTTCGAAACCATCTTGTAGTGAAAGGGAAACTTCAGGATGAAAACCCATTGACAGGATATTTTTTACCGATTCTTCGGCCAATGGGATCCCTTCACTGGTTATACGATAAATGTTAAGACGTTCAGTTTCTTGTGGCCAATTATCAAGTTTACAATAGAAATCCATAGGTTCGAGTATTAATAATTTACGCAAAATTCGTAGCAACGATTCTTTATCTTCAAGACCAAGTTTATTATATGTAATCTCTTTGATCCATGCAATCGTTTCACTTTGTACAAGTGTAATGTTCATCTGAAATGCACGCATAATTTCTTTTCGTTCAGGCCGTGCAAATGATTCACGAATATTTTGATTGACCGATAAAAATATCGTCATCGTTATAATATCGACAACTTCATTGATCACTTTTTCACGTGAATAATCAAATTTTATGTTGTTGTCCAACATAACACGACGAAATTCATAGATCAATGTAGAAACAAAACAATAATAATTTATCGGCTCAGATTTCAGTGATCGAACAATTTCACGAAGTAATGAACGTAATAATCGGAGATGATCTTCTTTGGTGAAAATTGTTGATATGAAAAATTTGGCCAAAATTTTCGCAGCATCCAATGAATTATGTTGAAACATAATGGATAACATTTGTATGTTGTTTAAATTACGAATACCATTCAATTCGTTGGTGAGCAATATTCGCATAACAATATCGAATGTACCATTCTTTTGTTGTAGTAATTCTTTGAAACAAACACAAAAATGACTAATATATGGTTTTTGTTTCAAACGAATTTTCAACAAATGATTCAATGTATCAATATCTTTATCATCACAATTCAAGAATATCGTTAATAGAAGATCTTGTGCTGGTCTTGTAAGTTTTGGATTCTGAAACCATAACTCTAATTTTTGTGCAACCAATAAACGAACATTTCGTAAACCAGCTGTTGCTATCAATAATTTAAGCATATTACGGCTAACATCACTAATGGTTTGTCGTCGTAAAAGATTTTCATTGATAACTTCGACAACATATTGAATAATTTCTGGTTCATTATCCAAATATCTGGATGTTATTGGTTGTTGACCAATATCACGATTTTGTTCACAAAATAATGACGTTGTTGATGAACATGATTCTTCTCCAACACTATCTTCACCACCAATGGATGATGAACCACTAAGTGTAAGATTTGGTGATGATTCCATCTGATGTTTGGTTGTTATATTCAAAACATCTGATGTTTGTAGCAATGATTTAGGCGGCAGTTTCGTACGAAATGATGCAACAATTATTTCAACAAAATCTTTACATTCTTCATTATCTACCCAGATTCGATCACCAAGTGAATCTTCAACATATAATCGGATGAATAATTCGGGCCATGAATTTTCATCATGAAATGCATGATAAAATAGATTTATAAGTAATACTGGAACCATATTGTTTTTTGTTTTGAAATAAAACAAATGTTCACGACTTAATAATGATGCGAATGCTTCGACAATAATGTTTGAACAGAAAAATAATGGCCGTATTTTGGCCAGATAAAGCAATGTAAAAACCAAACAAGAATCTGGTTTTGTTTTCTGTTCACGTAATTGTTTCACTGCACCACATAATAAACGTTCGATCATTTCTTCGGAATCGGATTCACTATCATATTGTAAGATTTTATCTTTCAATTCGGTTGTCGGTACGATAATGGCTTTCTCTTCCCATGATCGAAGTTTTGATTGCTGTGATGCAGGTTGAACCTGTTGCGATGGTTGAACCAACGATGATGACGATCCAATCATTGATTGTGATATCGGTGAATTTAATTTCGGTCGTTTTGGTGACATTGATGATATTGGAGCTTGAAATGGTTCATTTCGTTTAGCCGGTAATTTTACCTGACTTGTTGGTGCAGATGTAGTGGCTAGATTTTCAATGGAAATGATTAATCAGAATAATTAAATTCTTCAAAAAAAAAAAAAAAAATTTGATGAACGAATCAACTTACCACCAAGAGCAAAAAGATCCTGACTCAATGGAGCCATATGTTTTTTATTGCCACGTTTGTTTGACATTATTATTAAATGATGAAATTGAAGGCCGGAAATGAAATTATTATTCTGATGACATATATATTCTCAATTATAACCAATTGATGAAAAAGATGAACTCAAACTCGTAAAATTCGAGCGGCTCACATGCAACAAGATTCGACTACGCCATCCAGGAGCCAATGTCGGAACTATTCGATAAATTTCAAAATCTTTGATATTTTGTTTTTCTTCAAACGATTATTGTCTGATTTTTCATTCAATAAGAAAAAAATTATCCATTGATGTGTGAGTTTAAAATTAATTCTTTGAAAAAAAATCACCAATAAATCGGTTCCTCAGTAGGAAACCAGAGTAATTTTTTCTTATATTATTGTTCAGCCTAGTTGGGTCGCAACCAGCTGAAAACTCCGAGTTGAAAACTTGAAAACTCCGAGTTTTGGTTGCAGGTGGCGCCCCCTGGCTAATATAATTATGAGCGGCCTAGTGGTTTAGTGGTATAATTTGCGCTTCGGGTTTTCTTTGCTTCTACCACCACTACTACATTTTCTCTATGTGAGAATTTGTACTAGTTTGAAATGCAAAAAAAATTAACGTAAATGCGCGAGGTCCCGGGTTCAATTCCCGGCTAGGCCCTTTTTTTTTAAATTCATAAATTAATATTTTGTTGCATTAATTTTTAAATAATTTATTTTAAAAATTTTTATTAATTATAATTAGGTTATTATTATTATAATAATTGTTGTATAAATGTAAGTTACAAAAGTAATTACAAGATAATGTGTGTATAGTTTGAGGTGAATATATTCCACCATTCTTGATTTTTTGGAAAAAAGAAAATCCAAATATCCGAATATCATCAACAACATTCTAAAATTGAATAATTTCATTTGTGTGTGTGTTTTACAAGTGAAATTAATGATTGTAACATAATTTACAATTTTTTTAAAATTGAAATTTTATATGTGTGTGTGTGTGTGTGTGAATGTGAATGTGACAATCATGTGAAAAAAATGTCTGAGAAATGTATTTTTTTTTTTTTTTTGCAAATGTGGTATGCATGTGATCAAGATATTAAATCATCGAATAAAAGTTTTTTTTCATCATTTTTTGTTGTTTTTTTTGTTTACCTATAAAGAGAATATTGAATTTGAAAAACTTGATTTTCCGATCATACGACGATCAGATTCAATCATATGGAGGCTACGTTATTAATCCATTTCTTGACTTTTCCTTACGCATTGAGCAACTCTCCTTTTGAAATTTTGATAATTTTGTCGCCATTCTTTCTGTATAATGTTGAGGTGAATTTTTTTTTTAATTTAAAGTAGAAAATTAATGAAAAAAATAAATAACATACCGCTGCATCAACATTGGCTGGTGATTCATCATTTGGATCGGCTAACATTGAAATGACTGAGATTAGAATAGTTTCGACTGTATGTACCGGTAGCCAACGTTCGGATGCTTTTTCATAACCAAAACGATCATCACCAGGTTCATGTAGAATCGATATACAAACATTACCATTCTTATCGACTATGACGACGGAAAAAAAATTTTACATGAATGACAAAAAAGATAATCAAAACAACAACATACTATTTGGATGCCATATTTCGGTCAAAAAACGCATCTTAGGCGGTTTCAATGGATACTCTTTTGGAAATGTAAGATTTGCTTTGAAAAAACCTCCTTCACTATTTTTATTTATCAAGTGTGTGAATGAGAGAAAAAAAAATTAAAATTAATCAAATTGATTGTATAGAAAAAAAAACATACTATAGTGTATCAGGTGGACCAATAATTAGCACTTCCCAATTGTAAATATCGCTATCATCACAAAGGCCGGCGGAAAATCCTTCAACAGGATTTTTCTTTAGATCTATAATAATTTGTTTTTAAAAAAAGAAAAATTTTAATCGATTAAAAAATCAAAATCACACACAAAGAAACTAACCATTTAATTGTTTTCGTAGTAATAAACTGGACTGTAATTCAGCCATAATTTTTTTTTTTTTGAACAATCGTTTTTGTTTATTGTAGTTGATTATCTGTATGGTGCTTTAATTGATGGATAATAATGTGATTGTATTGTTGATTAATAAACAATCACATAAATCACATCGGAATTGATGATTATTGAAAAGAATTTTGAAACGAAAAAAAATTCTTTGATAAAACTCACTAATATTTGTCAGCAGCAGCAGCTAATACTTTCGAACACAACATGAAACATAAAACACACTCAAACATACAACAAAAAAAAATCAGGCCTGCTGCCGCTGCTATGAAATGGTGTGTGTGTGTGTGTGTGCGCTTGAAAATCGACGTATAACTTGCTTTGTGTCGTCGCGTTGTTAAACACCAAAATCATTCGGTTGGTTGAATTTTTTATTTTTATTTTTTTTTGATACAATAACTACTACTACTACCACAAACAAATGCTAGCGGCAAAATAAAATGATGATTAATGAACGTAACACCCTCGAAAGTGAGAAGTCAAGAAGAAGCATAGAAAATAGTTACGAAAAAAATGAGAGAAAATTTGTACAGTCAAAGTAACAATATTGGAAGCATAGAAATGAACGGATAGAATATCCAAAATCAGGTGAGAAGGCTTGTGGGCGATTTAGCCGATGGTATCGCAATTTTTTTTCGATTGTTTTTAGTTTCAACAAATCACGTGACTATCGTGACAATCGATAGTATCCCGATTTTTTGATTGTTTCATTAAACGATTGTTTTATTGTTTTATTGATTTTCGGAATGAATCCGGAAATTATTACAAAATATGAATATAAAATAAAATATAAAATACAAATTAAAAGTTCCAAATTGATAAAACGGTCGAATTTTGTGGAATATTATAAAATGAATTCTGATAATCCAATCTTTGCCTTGTATATGAAATCCTTATAAGTAACTTCTTTGACGCCTAGTTTAAATAGTATAATTTTTTTAATCCAATCAACTGGATTTTGTTTACAATTTTTGGTTTCTTCTTCTATCCAAATTTTTCGATCATTCCTTTTTTTTTACTGAAGGCCATTTCAATGGCATCATCATCATTGTTATCCATATAACATAATTTTATTCGATGATCATTAATATTCGAAAAATATTTTTTAATATCATTTTCTGCCACTCCCCCTAAACCTATAGACAAACAAATGATTGATAATGAAAAAATAGAATATTCAGAAAGAAAATCAAAATCAAAAAAAATACCTTTATTGTATTTTATTTTATATGACTGGATATTTTTTGTCGCGTATTTCCATACATGATATTCGGGAAGAGAATAATATTCAAGTATAGAATTATCTCTTCTCACGGTAACGATGGGGGTGATAAACAATTCGAGAAAATGTAATTTGATTAAAGATGGCCAATAAACATGGAAGGCATTTAAAATTAAGCCGATTATATGAATACCATCATGGTCTTGATCCATCATGATCAATAATTTCCCATATCGCAGTGATTTCAAATTATCAATGGTTGAATAATCTTTACCATATTCGAGTCCCAACGCTTTTACCAAGTTGTTCATGATGGGATTGGACATCCGTTTTTTATTGGCGTTGCGAACGTTTATTATAGGAAAGATGATGATAAAACAATATCTTTCCAGCCTTGAAAAGTGGTTGTCTAAATTGAAACAATTCGGTTGAGATTTATTAAATAAATCAAGTTGATCGGTTTGTTTATCCGATTTTATTTTTTTTTTTGATACAATAACTACTACTACTACCACAAACAAATGCTAGCGGCAAAATAAAATGATGATTAATGAACGTAACACCCTCGAAAGTGAGAAGTCAAGAAGAAGCATAGAAAATAGTTACGAAAAAAATGAGAGAAAATTTGTACAGTCAAAGTAACAATATTGGAAGCATAGAAATGAACGGATAGAATATCCAAAATCAGGTGAGAAGGCTTGTGGGCGATTTAGCCGATGGTATCGCAATTTTTTTTTAGGTTTGGACGATTGTTTTAGTTTCAACAAATCACGTGACTATCGTGACAATCGATAGTATCCCGATTTTTTGATTGTTTCATTAAACGATTGTTTTATTGTTTTATTGATTTTCGGAATGAATCCGGAAATTATTACAAAATATGAATATAAAATAAAATATAAAATACAAATTAAAAGTTCCAAATTGATAAAACGGTCGAATTTTGTGGAATATTATAAAATGAATTCTGATAATCCAATCTTTGCCTTGTATATGAAATCCTTATAAGTAACTTCTTTGACGCCTAGTTTAAATAGTATAATTTTTAATCCAATCAACTGGATTTTGTTTACAATTTTGGTTTCTTCTTCTATCCAAATTTTCGATCATTCCTTTTTTTTTACTGAAGGCCATTTCAATGGCATCATCATCATTGTTATCCATATAACATAATTTTATTCGATGATCATTAATATTCGAAAAATATTTTTTAATATCATTTTCTGCCACTCCCCCTAAACCTATAGACAAACAAATGATTGATAATGAAAAAATAGAATATTCAGAAAGAAAATCAAAATCAAAAAAAAAAAATACCTTTATTGTATTTTATTTTATATGACTGGATATTTTTTGTCGCGTATTTCCATACATGATATTCGGGAAGAGAATAAAATTCAAGTATAGAATTATCTCTTCTCACGGTAACGATGGGGGTGATAAACAATTCGAGAAAATGTAATTTGATTAAAGATGGCCAATAAACATGGAAGGCATTTAAAATTAAGCCGATTATATGAATATCATCATGGTCTTGATCAGGGCCGGCCGAGAAAATCGCGAGGCCTTGTGCAAAAATAGCTTGAAAAGTTGGAGCCGCGAGGCCCTGTGTTGTATTAAGGCAGCGAAGGTCTTGTGCGGTGCACAGTCTGCACAGGCGCCTCGGCCGGCCCTGGTCTTGATCCATCATGATCAATAATTTCCCATATCGCAGTGATTTCAAATTATCAATGGTTGAATAATCTTTACCATATTCGAGTCCCAACGCTTTTACCAAGTTGTTCATGATGGGATTGGACATCCGTTTTTTATTGGCGTTGCGAACGTTTATTATAGGAAAGATGATGATAAAACAATATCTTTCCAGCCTTGAAAAGTGGTTGTCTAAATTGAAACAATTCGGTTGAGATTTATTAAATAAATCAAGTTGATCGGTTTGTTTATCCGATTCCAACAGTTGAAAAAAATTGATGAATATTGCCATGATTCATCATTTAATTTGAGTCTTTCTTGAATATGAATTTACGAAGTCAAAATTCATGAAATTAAAATTTGCACATGCAAGCAAAATTTCGAACTCGAAAACGAAACGGTCAAATCACTTGTTCGACTCATTTGCACGGGATTCGGTGCACTCGTTGCCGTTCATAAAGGTTGTTACGCATTTTTTGCATATTGATTTGAAATTTTTTTAAGTTTGATTTATAAATATTTTTATTTTATTTTGAAATTCTTCAATTTATTTTATTTTTTTTTTTTGGTAAGTAAATATAAATAAATCAACGAATCTCAATAAACAAAACTTTTATTTGTCAAAATTATAAGGATGAAGATCAATATAACAATGAAACAAAAATGAATTATATTGGATAGAAACGATATAACGATGGCAATTGACATTATAAATGTTGAAATCTACCCATAAATAACGATGATGACAACGTACATCGGAAATCCATATCCAAATTTTGTGATGGAGTAATAAGATTGACATAATGGTCGATCAATCGATTTTTATGACTTCTCCCAGTCCGTCGATTGCTTCAGTTGATTAAACGAAAATTCCAAGCGCTTTGTTTCGTAAAAATGAACTTCAGCGGGATTGAAAAAGATGATGATTGTCGCAATAGTTTTTTGATTGATGGTCACAAGCATAATTCGAAAAATCGTGGACCCATTATGTCGGCGAGTCCGGCCAACCACTTTGAACCCGTGGATCTCCTTTTATCAATCAAGATGAAATTCATGATTCGTTGTTTTATAAGGTGAATCCATGGGCCCAAAGCAGTGACCGGACAATATGTCTGTGCCAAAGTTTGGGCCGGTTAGGAATGTCAATATTTTAATTTAAGATCATATATATGTAATAATTTACGATGATCTCGACATCATCGTAATGATTGTATCGATGATAATACGTTCGCAGCTATGGTTGAGGATTGGACACTATTGAAATATAAAGCTTTATTGATCAAGTATACGTAGATCATAGATCCCAGATACTCGATGGATAATGATAATTTGGGATGGGTTTAAATAATATCTATGTCCAAATTCACATATGTTTTGTGAAAACAATCGAAACAATCGAAATGACAAAAAATTCAACATTTTCATAGATTGCTAGTCCGTTGATTTATTTTTAAAGTACAAATCGGAAAAATCTCGCATGCATCATCATCACCAGAATTGGTAGCGGCATTGCCAATTTTTTTGCATGTGCCTCTCCTTCGTAAAAAAGCTGGTCGATTTGCGAGAGTGTTAAGCGTGATAAGCGTATATTTAGATTTCTTTTGTTTAACATGGGTTTCACTTCATCCAGCGATAGATGGCATTTGTGGTGATTTGTTGAAAATTTTATTTTTTCTTTTTCTTTTTTTTTTTTTGAAAAAATTTCAATCTCAAATTAAAATTTACAAAAATTTCTTGAAAACAAAATTACTTAAGCAGTCACCATGTCACCATAATTTTGATGAATCATTTCTTCTTTATTAATCAAATGATTCATTTTACCAACCAGATTCATTAATGAATCAATATTTGTTGACCAATCATTCAATACTTCATTTGGATCTTTACTTTGTTCAAAATTTATAACACCTAATGATCGATCAATTTTAGCCCAAATGGTTTTCGATACAACTAATGCACTAAGCGATTCTTCAGTTTCTGGCTGTGTTAATCCCAATAGATTGGCCATTCGTTTCAATGTAATTTTACTATAATATTTGGCGATAACACGAATATTCTACATTGTAAAAAAAAATAGTCAACAAATAAATTGAAATTAGATTTTTAGACAAAACTTACATGTTCAACAACACGATTTTTCAAAACATTCCATTTTTTACATCCATCATCAGTGGATGATGGAAATACACCGGTTGGTTCAGCTTCAAAATCATTCGATTTATTACCCATACGTAATAATTGCGATACAGATGTTTCCCATGTTTGCCATTGTATCAATTCCCATGTAGTGAATAATTTCAATATTTCCAAATAATTTGGAATCTCATTTATAGGTTTTTCCAGCTTCAAACGATTAATCAAATCAGATTGTTCATTATCATACGGTGTAAGAATAATGTAAACAACACAATTTTTCAATATTGAACAACGTTTTTTCAAATCATTTTTGATTGCATCCGTATTATAGATGGCCATATAATGTTTACAAATGTTAAGAAAAGCATCATCCGAACGATCCAATTCAATCATTAGTTTATAATATTTGAATTTCAATTCATGCATTTCAGGATTATCGAAAAATTTTGTCGAAATTTTTTTACTAATAATCTGTGTTCGTATATAATCATTACGTGCCAAACATAGACGCATCTGTTCAAGAATCATTTCTACTTTTTCTTTTTTATCCATTGAACCATAAGTTTCAACTTGAAGTTCTTGCAAAATAGTGGCAGCTTCATCAACATTACCTTCAGATTCTTTCATATGAGCCAATTTCAATGTAAGTCGTGCACGTTCAACTTCAACATAGATTTTACCAGCAGTTACCGTACGTAATGTTTCAATATATTTCAATTGTATTTCTTTATCAGAAATTTTATCCACATAATTACAACATTCTTGAATCATTTTCGTTACCGCTTGTTTGATTTGTGAACGACGTTTTGTCAACGTTACGATCTGTTCGTTAAGTAAATCAAAATCATTGGCTTCGAAACAAAGTTTAACTATGGCCACTAATATTCGACCAGTCGAATGTGTATCGGATCCGGTACGTGTTTGTTTTTCCAATGAAAGCAATATATCCAATGCTTCTTTCAATTTACCATCTTTGGCTAATTTTTCACAAACAGGTAGCTTTTCGTTGACCGTTTCACAATAATCAACTTCCATTTTGACCAATCGGCCACTATCGCTGAAGAGTGTATCGGCCATTTTTGTAGATATAAATTGTTTATATGGATCGGTAATTTAAATGAAAAAAAAACTTTTAATAACAATGAAATGTTTGCAACAGAAGATATTGTGTGTGGCAAAAAAAAAAAAAATTTTTGCTTGGTCACTTGCTGACTGTCAATATGATGATTTCCCGGGAACATTTACATAGAATCTGTAATGAAATTATTTTCGAAAACTTTTCCATTTGAAATGAATTTTTTTTTTGAAAAAAAAATTCAATTTTATTCTTGAGATTCAATTTCGAGTTGTTTTCAGTTAAAAAAGAAAATTTCTATTGTTTCAAATAATTTTTTGAAAATTTTCATTCAATCTCTTCATCACAATCGAAAGAGAAGATTGAAAAATTATCAACAAGGGTGAAATAGATAACTATCAACGTATGAATTTGTGGATCCGAATTTTTTTTTTGCGGTCCACCATAATTGATGCTCAGGAGCGAATGAAATTTTGTTGTTGGCAAAAGTTCGCGCTCATATTCCAATGGTAACCAACAAAACCACTGGATAAACCGACCCATCCAATCACACACAATTGATATCACATAAAAAACCCATCGGATAATCATTAAATCAGATTCAATGACCAATTTGGATTCAGATTGTTGAATTGGACCAAACAATTTTCGACACTGATCTCATCATCTCAACGTAACGGATTATCAAGTGGAACAAAGGCGCCAATTTTTTATTCGAAAGAATGCCGTCGTAGCACATACAACAACAACAACAACAATTTTTATAGACATTTTATTGAAAATTTTTCATAATTTTATTTATTAATTAAATACTGAATAAACAACATGTTCATCAAACAGGTATGTAATAGTTTTTTTTTCTTGATAACTTTCATTTTGATCAATTGATGATTTCATAGGTTGTCATAAGTGGTTTTCGTTCATATCGTGAACAAACGGTTGTCGAACCATTCAGTCCCGGTCATAATGTTATTGTTGGTCGTAATGGTTCCGGGAAATCAAATTTTTTCTATGCCATACAATTTGTTTTGAGTGATGAATTTTCACATTTGCGTCCGGATCAACGGCAACAATTACTGCATGAAGGACCAGGTCAACGAACAATGATTGCATATGTGGAAATCATTTTCGATAATTCAGATAATCGTCTTCCAATCGATGAATCAACGGTCACTTTGCGACGACAGATTGGATTGAAAAAAGATCAATATTATTTGAATAAAAAGATTGTTACACGTGCTGATGTTATGAATGTATTGGAAAGTGCCGGTTTTTCACGTAGCAATCCATATTACATTGTTAAACAAGGTAAAATCAATCAAATGGCTACAGCACCGGATCCACAACGATTGAAAATTTTGCGTGAAGTTGCCGGCACCCGAATCTATGATGAACGTAAAGAAGAATCACGTGTAGCACTTCGTGAAGCGGAAAATAAACTGGAAAAAATAATCGATCTAATCAAATATATTGAAGAAAAATTACAAACACTTGAAGGTGAAAAAGAAGAATTGAAAGAATATCAAAAATGGGATAAAATGCGTCGTGCACTTGAATATACTATTTACAATAATGAATTGGAAGATTCACGAAAACGCCAGAAAGAATTGGAAACTCGTCGTGAAACAAGCAGTATGGTGACGGAAAAATTACGTGAACAACTTCAATCATCAACGGAAAAAATCAAAGATTTAAGCCGTGATTTACGCGAGGTAAAAACAAAACTTCAAACATATAAAGACGAAAAAGAAGCTCTACAACATGAACATACAACATTTGTCAAAGAGAAAACACGTCTTGAATTGCATATCAAAGATTTAAAAGATGAAGTTGAAGGTGATACTAGTTCAAAGAAACGTGCTGAAGCTGAATTAACTAATCTGAAAGAAAGAATTGCTGAAAAACAGAATGAATTGGATCAAATTAAACCAGAATATGAAGAAATGAAATTACTTGAAGAAGAATGTACCAGAGAACTAAGTCTTAAAGAACAAAAACGTTCCGAATTGTATGCAAAACAAGGACGTGGTAGCCAATTTACATCGAAAAATGAACGTGATAAATGGATACAGAATGAATTGAAAAAACTTCAACGTAATCTACAAGATAAACGTGTACAAATTGAACGGCTTCGTGAAGATCTTAAACGTGATGCTAAACGTAAAGAAGAACTTGAATCGAAAATTGATGTAAGTAGAGAAAAATGATCCCATTATTTAACATTTCTAATGGAAATTTTTTTGCATAGGAATTGACAAAAGAATTGGAAAATAATCGATCAAGTATCGATAATCAGAATAAATCCTATTATGATATGAAAAAGAAAAAAGATACGCTACAAAATGAACGAAAGTGAGTGTGTAGCGTTTTATCGAAATCTTAATGATTCGAAAAAAAATAATTTTTTTATGTTTTTTTTAATTAGTGAAATGTGGCGCCAAGAAAATGCATTACAACAGAATTATAACATGTTGATTGAAGAGAAATCAAAAAAAGATCAACTATTACGTTCGATGGTGGGAAAAACCGTTTTGAATGGTCGAGATTCAGTGCAAAAAGTTTTGGAAGTATTTCGTGAACGTGGTGGTTCATATGAACCAATCGTAAAAGGTTATTATGGAATGTTGATTGAAAATTTTGAATGCGGCAAAGAATTCTATACGGCCATTGAAATGACTGCCGGTAATAAATTGTTTCATCATATCGTTGAAAATGACAAGATCGGTACACGTATACTGCAAGAGATGAACAAAATGAAATTGGCCGGTGAAGTAACATTCATGCCAATCAATCGTCTTTTTACTAAAGAAATTGATTATCCACAAACACCGGTATGTATATTTTTTTCGTTTTGTTTTGTTTTGTTTATTGTTTATTGTGTTTTTTTTTTAATTTCAATCAATCAAGGATGCCATTCCAATGATATCAAGATTAACATTCGATAAAAAACATGATACCGTTATGAAATTCATATTTGGTAAAACATTAATCTGCCGTTCATTAGAGGTAGCCACATCATTAGCTCGAAGTTCTCATTTGGATTGTATAACATTAGATGGCGATCAAGTTTCACATAAAGGTTCACTTACAGGCGGTTATTTTGATACCCGAAGATCTCGTTTAGAATTACATAAATCTCATACAGCTTTGATGAAAGATATTTCTGAACAGAAAGAAAAACTCGATATGTTACATGAAAAATTGAATGATGTTGAACAACAAATTAATCAACTTGTCAGTGAAATGCAACGTGCCGAAACCAAGAATAGTAAAAACAAAGATACATTCGATAAGATGAAAACCGATATACGATTATTGAAGGATGAACTAGCCGCTATCGAAAAATCACGACAACCAAAAGAACGATCATTAGTAAGTCATGAATCAAATCTAAGCTCAATGGAATCACTACAGGAATCGTTGAAAAGTGAACTACAACAAGATCTATTGACACATTTATCTGTTCAGGATCAGCAAGAAGTTGATCGTCTTAATGATGAGATTCGTCAATTGACGGTTAAAAATAAAGAAGCATTCAGTAGACGTATGCAATTGGAAGCACAAAAGAATAAACTGGAAAATCTTCTCAACAATAATCTATGTCGTCGAAGAGATGAACTTGAAGCAGCATTGCAAGAAATATCTGTGGAAGATCGAAGACAAAAATTGGAAAGTGAACGTCAAGAATTGTCCGTAATATCAAATCGTATTGAAGCTGTCAATGAACAGATGCGAACACTTGATGATAATATCGATGCAATGGCACGACGACAAAAAGAACTGCAAATGGAAATTGAAAAGAAAAAAAGCGAAGAACGAGATACCATAGATAGAATTAATGAAGATTCCAAAGATCTTGATAAAATTACATCGAAAAATTCAATGTTGGGCAAAAAAATTGATGAATGTATGCGTAAGATACGTGAATTGGGTACATTGCCTGCTGATGCCGAAATGAAATACAATAATCTATCGTTGAAGCAGCTATATAAAAAATTGGAAAGCTGTAATAAAGAGCTACAAAAATATTCACATGTAAACAAAAAAGCATTGGATCAATATTTGGATTTTAGCGAGAAAAAAGAACGACTAATGCAACGGAAAGGTGACCTAGATGCTAGCCATAAATCGATTATTGATCTAATGAATGCATTGGAACAACGAAAATATGAAGCCATACAATTTACATTCCGTCAGGTATCAATGTTTTTTAGTGAAGTTTTTAAAAAACTTGTACCAAATGGCCGTGCATCATTGGATATGAAAGTGGATGATACGATGCAAAATCAAAAGAATAATAATGATAATTATGCTACACCATCTATTGATAATTTTACTGGTGTCGGTATTCGGGTTTCATTTACTGGATCAAATGCCGAAATGAAAGATATGCAACAATTGTCTGGTGGACAAAAATCATTGGTAGCATTGGCATTTATATTTGCCATACAGAAATGTGATCCAGCACCATTCTATTTATTCGATGAAATTGATCAAGCATTGGATCCACAACATCGTCGTGCTGTTGCCGGTATGTGTTTTTACTTGACTTTAACTTGAATTTTATGAATTTCAATTTTTTTTCTCCCACTTTTCCCTCATATATGATGATGATGATGATGGCTGAACAAAAAGACATGATTTGTGAGCTGAAAAAAGATGCACAATTTATAACAACAACATTTCGACCGGAATTACTGGAGAAAGCGGATAAATTTTATGGTGTTAAATTTAGGAATAGGGTAAGTTTGTTTAAAAAAAAAATCTTTTTTTAACAACTTTTCTCTAATCTTTTTCTCTTTTTTGTTTAACAAAAAATTCATTCACTTTTTTGTTCCACCTATGGCTACATCACCCATTTGAATAATAATAAAAAAATAAAAAATAAAAACAATCTAGGTCAGCCATATTGAAGTGGTAACAAAAGAAGAAGCACAAGATTTTGTTGAAGATGATCAACAACAGGTATAGTAGAGTAGCAAATAAATACCGACATGGTATGTGGACCTTTCTCTCTCTCTCTTGCATCAACCTGTTGCCTATATATTTTCGACAAAATCCCTTTTCACACACACACATCCTCATTAATTATTATTATTATGATGGACATTTAAGAAATAAATCCATAATAATATCATTATCATCATCGTCATCATCATCATCATCCTTTGAAATAAATAAATAGAAAAAAAAACATGAACACTTTTCATTATAATCATCATCATCATCATATATACACGCATGAAATGACACAAACGCATCAACATTTTTGCTATATATAAACAAAATAATCGTTACATCTTTTAACATCAACGAAGAAAAACAAAATTTTTAAAATAATAAACAAAAACGACGACGTAATACAATAATAATAATAATAAAGAGAAAGTTTAAATTTATGATAAATCTTTGATGTTCTTTTTTTTCAATATATTTAAATTTAGAATAATAATAAAAAAAATTTTTGTGTGTTTATTTGTGTGTTGATTTTGTATTGAAATTGATTTTGAACTAGGCAATTTTTTTTTCATCATCATGAAATGTATAAAACATTACCTGATGATGACAAACTTGATTTCAAAGTAAAAAAAAAGCAACAAGCGACGACATTATTTGGACAGGTTTTTTATAATATAAATCTGGAGTAGTGTATTTGGGAGATATCCCGTTATTCCATATCATCATTGCTGCAGATAATAAATTAATTATTAATGTAGAATTTTTTTTTTAGTTTTTATTTTTGTTTTTTTTTACCTGACTTTTGGATGATGGTAAATCAAGGTAAAAATTTTTTTTTCGTTGATTAATGATGATGATAAAATCCGGATCATATTTTTTTTTTTTTTTTTTTTTTTTTTTTTAATTTTCAGCCTCACCTGTGTGTGTGTGTGTATACGGGCCGGAGAAGTGGCTACAGTTTTTTTGAGGGGGAAATATTTTTATAATTTCAAAAAAATATTTGTTCACAGAATATTTGTACTTGACACACACACACACACACTGTGGTTTGACTATCGATGAAACATTTTCGACGACGACGACGACGACGAGAATATAGGCCACATAGCATCATTCATTCATTTTTTTTTCTCGGTTATTCGACGGAAAATTTTTCAAAAAAATGTTTTTCCCCTTTGCACATATAACCGCGTGATATTGATATCATTGGTAAATTGGTAAATCCTATGGAATGGAATAGAAATGAATTGAATAAATTGAATAAGTTTGACCGGTTTTTTTCCTTCTCTAACCTTGTTGTTGATGTTTTCGTCGATGGATGAAATATATATCTGATTAAAATGATGAAGACTGCTGCGTTTTTTTTCAGTTCAATCAAATTCAATCCTTAGCAATGATGCATATTTTACCCAGGTAAACAAGCAAGCGAGAGTAATGAATTACCTGGTTATTTTTGTTTTTTTCTCATCCATTCGAATTTGTTGGATGATTTGGATGTCTAAAATCTCTGGTTTCGACCATGCAAGTATGTATATCGGGTTTGACCTCATCTCATTTCACCTTAAGTCTTTTTTTTTGAATAACAGAACAAGAAAAATAAAAGGAGAGCTAAATCAGGCTATATGATGATGATGATGATGACGATGATGATGAGCATCATCTTCCGAATTTAGTTGACCGATGATTTTTCGTTTTTTTTCTTCACTCATCATTATAATCTAGGACGATGAAGGTTGGCAAATATCGACAGACAGATAAATGTCTATATATGATTGAATTGAACTGACCATTGAATTGATGATGATGATGAAAAAAGAGATTGATTTTTGATTGATACCTGTTGTTGTTGTTGTTGAATGAATGTTGACCAATAATAGTAGTAGTAGTAGTAGTAGTGGTTGGTTTCAATTACTAATGATAATTAATATATTTATATGTGACGGGAAAATGAAGGGAAAACATTTCTTTTCAAGGGATGATAATGTCGTTTCCGGTACCGATTATATTCACTTCAAATCATTAATCGATTATCGAGGCATTTTATATGAGACCAAAATAACAAATCGATAAAGATATTTGATTTATTTTTTCTTGTTGATGATAATAATAATCAGTAATCGATCGCGATCGATGATCTTGATGGCCTTGATTATCATCATCAACAAAAATAGAGGTGATTGAAATCTAAATGATCGATTGATATGATTAAAGATTAATCAATAAATAATTTTTATGATGATGATGATGATGAAAATAATTTGTTGAATGGTTTTTTTTCTGGGTTAATATTTTTTTAAGGGAAATTCCTTCATTCAGTTGTAGCATCGATTTAAGATCGATTTAATCGATCAATTTCATAATTCAATATCGAACCATAATTTGGGTTGTGAATAAATTAATTTTTCAGCATTCAAAAATGATGATGAATCTGGATCAAGCCTGCGTTTGCACATTTAAATATTTTGATCTGATCTGATTGATTGATTGGAAAATTTGATAATCTGATTGAATAATTGAATAAATATTCGATTGAAAATCGTGATTTTTTTTATTATTATTATTTTCTTACCCTGGTGAATTCTGATAACAATGGTGGTGAAAAAAAAATTGAAAAATTTTTCATTGTTGTTCAGCAAACACAAACACAGACAAATAGATTTTCACGACGATCAAGATTGTTTGATTTTGAATGTTAAAAAGTTTTTTTTTTCTAAAAATATACCAAAAAAAAATTTCGAATCAAAAATGCAACCTGTCATTTGTGAATGAATCATCATCTTCACCCATCGATTTATATCGAACAAAGGATGATCACAATTTGTTCTTTACAAACGTGGTTATCGAATGCTTTTTTTTCTTTTAATGATCAAACGATCCTCACCTTTGTCATTTGTATGAGAAAATTTTTCCAATCCAATAATTGTGATTGAAAATTGAACAACAACAACAACAACAACAAAAAACATACCCATCATCATCAATACCCTTTTGGTGAAAAGGGCGACAAATTATATCCCGTCAATTCAATGAGATATCAAGATAGGTAAATTGATTTTTTTTCAGCTATAATAATCAATTTGTATATATTGATTCCCAGTTTTTATTTTTTTTCTGATTTCTACATGATTAGATCAAAATTGGTGTCGATTCTTTATTTCAATGATTTTGATTTTTGAATGAATAATCAATTGATGTTATTTTTTTCCATTGCTGAATGAAAAGATTCACTTCTTCTTCCTGATTTTGGTGTTAATATTCAATGAATGGTAAGTGTATATTGATTCATTCATAATGCTAATATTCTCATCTATCTATAATTATGTATGATGTTGATTGTTATAGAATCAAATTTCGAAATAAGGACGCTCAAATTACTTGTTATTCGACAATCGAATCAATTGATTGACTACTGGTCATTGAACAATCAATAGCTACATTATAGGAAGCAAAAAAAAATCATTCATTTCGAAAACAAAGTTGTATCATAAAAATACCAGTTCTGCATCGCACAAAAAAAGGTAACTATTTGATGATTCATTGAATCTTAGAATCGCAATCCACACATATTGATGATGATTTAATTACAGGTCTATTTGAAGTTGATGAAAATACTGATCATCATTAATTCATTGATTCATCATTGATTGATTAATTATATAAAACTAGAATTCGGTTATTCGCATTCTAATCAAAATAATTGATTTTTCCATTTAAATATCACATATCGGTTTTTTGCATCTCAACATTTCTGCGTGTGTGTGGAGTAATGTGCCCTGAGCAAGATCGAACATTAATATGATGACGGAGGATGATGATGAATGTGAGTGACTAACATTTCACAACAAATCCATTTATTCAAGTAAGGCTGATTTGGTGATAAAATTTAATTTTTTTTTTTTTTTTGAATTAATAATTTTTTTTCAGTTTTTTCCAGTTGTTTGCAAGAAAAAGAACCAATTTTTTCCATATTTCGGTGATCAAAAACATTCGAAAAGGTCGACACATTGATATCCGAAAAAAAAATCCATCCATGACAAAATTGTAATGTCAAAAAAAGTCGACTAATTTCTTTTCGCTTCCTATATGATTCCGGTGACATTCCACACACACGCAATTCATCCGACCGGCATTTAGGATTTGGTTCACCCTACAATAATCATATGGTTACATCATCCGAAGATATCGATGATGATGACCATCCAACTCCGGATGGTAGCAAAACAAGTAGAAAAAAAGTATTTATGAACTGGGTATTTTTTTTTTTTTAAGAAAAAATTTTTTCTGGTGCATGAATCAATCATGATGGTCAACTACCTTGTTTCTTTTTTTCCCTCTTTCTTCAATCTAACAGGTTTCTACCGCTTCATCAAACTTCATAAGCTGGTTTTGTTTTGTTTTCTATTCACTGAATCTACCAAAAGAAGAAGAAGAAGTGGTTAATATCAAAGTCAAAGTTCGACCAAATTTTGAACAAACAACAAACCAGCAATCCATTCTAATTCATTTCATTCTATATTTATAATATTCGACGGCAAACGGACGAATCATCGTCAACATCATTGATAATAATCATTATTACTCTTACAACGAGCACCAACAACAACAACAACAACCAACAAAATAACATACCACCTGCATGCTGTGTGTGTGAGTGTGTATGTTTACCTGTTAGGAAAAACCTACCTGGTCAGACTTGGATTTACAAATAAACAACAACAACAACAAGGAACTCTAAGAATTTTCTTAAGAAAAAAACAGCAATTACCACTACTACCAGTGAATTGTGATGATTGCTATATTCGGCCATCAAAGTATTCAACATTTTTATTTTCTTCAGAAAATACCTGTTTCTTGCCTGTAGTTTTTATACCTGAAGAGAATGAGAGAGAGAGAGAGAGATGAATGAATCGCAAAGAAGAAAGAGACCAATTGTCGATCACTTTTTGCAGCCAGTGTTTGTGGCCCAAGAGAAAGAGATGAAATGACTCTTCAAGAAAAAAAAATTTCGTTTGGCGGTGCCATCACGAAAAAAAACTGAGAAAATTCCTTGTTTCAGTCATCATCATTATTGTCGGCCAGCTATACATCGTTTTTTGACCGATGTAATGTTCCATCAATCGTTGCCATCAATAGTTTCTCATTTGAAAAGACTGTGATCATCGTATTTTTGTTGTTTTTTTTC